CATTAATTGCGGGCTATGGGAATTAGAATTTTGAAGAGCTCTGAGTTTGGAGCGCTGATAGATTCAAGCGAGAAGCGAATGGAAATCGAAGAATTACTAAATAGAGAGTGGAGTGAAATGGAGTATTCAGGTGAAGTGTATTAGGAATATCCTCAAAAACGAAAATCTATTGAGGAACTAATCCGACTACACTATCCCAGAATAAACTTGAATCTGCAGTTAGCTCTATCTTTTTTGGCCTTCTACTCATTTGAAACTGCATAACATCTTCTTTTTGGACGCACTTGAGCTGCTTTTGCAGAGGGAGCAAAGGGAACTCTTTGACTGGGAATCAAGATGTTAACATCTTAAATGTGAAATCATATAATATTTGGCCAGATTGAACAACTGCAACAACAACAACAACAACAACTGAGAGATTTGATACCAATAGAGAGAGAGAAAGGCCCAGTTACAGATATCTAAACAAGCAGCAAAATGTTCCATTGTTGCTGTTGTTGTTGTTGTTACCCATTGTTGTTGTTGTTGTTGTTATTATTATTGCTGTTGTTGGCATTGTCTGGCTGTCAGTTGTAATTATGGCGTAATTGCGCATTGTTAGCAATGGATAATCCTTGAACAATATCGACTTTCGATCTCCATCTTGGGTTTCGCACAGCCATTGCCGCTATCTAAGCCAGAGGCTGCCAGCGACCACGCCCATTTTGAAGTCGCTTATAGTTTTCCACTTCTACTATTTGTTACTATTTTGTTATTTAAATATATATTTACCTAGCTCTGACAAGAACATTTTAGTTTATTCTATAAATATTTTTGTTCAGAATCTCTATGATTTTATTGCAATTTTTTAATGGAGCTCTAGATTGTTCCTAATTTTCATAAGGTTCCTTTATTAATATTATCAGCGTATTACAAACTATCAAAAACAAATTCAATTTCATATTTCGAATGCATTCGCCAGCCATTCTTTGTTACTTATACCTATTGCCCTTCTTTCGACTTGAGCGCTTAAGAGCCACGCCAAGTTAACTCACATTTGATTTCGATAATTATCGATTTCCCACAAATTGACTTGTGCTTGGCATAGGAGAAAGTATAAAAGTCTTGGATGCCCCCAGGCAGATCTCAATTGAGGCAAGTCAAGATTGCACCAGATCAAGTAATATATATGTATATATGTATATATATGTATAAGTCTTTTGCTGTCAGCCATGTTTATTGCTGCCTTTCACAAGCATTTTTGTTGTCCTATTTCGGCTTACAAATTCCAACCTTCACACTTGACTTAAGCCATAGCAAAATGTGGAAAAACTAGAGAAAAAGGGGAAAGTGAAAAAGTTGCGAATATCTAGTAAGCGACATCTATTCAAGCTTAAAAAAAAAAAAACGAATCAGAAGAAGAAGACTCCTGAGCAGCACCCACATCAAATGCGATATTTGTTGGCTAGTTTAAAGATCTCGACATGGAAATCTGACATTTTGATTTGCGGCACAAATCGCATTATATCTGCGATACATAAGCATAGAGAAGCATGTTAATGTGTGTGTGTGTGTGTGTGTGTGTGGGTCTATATGTGTTTGTCGTGCTTCTTCTTCTGCTGCTGCTACGCTCTCACTTAGCGCGAAGTGTGTGAGCCACGCTGCTTTTTATACCCTGAACCCATTGAAAATGGGAAATCAGGGTATAATGGTTTTGTGAAAAAGTATGTAACGGGCAGAAGGAGGCGTGGCAGACCCCACAAAGTATATATATTCTTGATCAGCGTGACGAGCTGAGTCGATATAGCCCTGTCCGTCTGTCCGTCCGTCCGTCCGTCCATCCGTCCGTCCGTCCGTCCGTATGAGTGCGTCGATCTCAGAAGTTATAAGAGCTAGAGAGCTGAAATTTGGCATGCATACTCGTGAGTACCATACGCAGTACGAGTTTGCTTTTATTTTTTCGATAAATCGTCCGATAACTTTTTTATCGAGAATAATCGAAAAATTGATTTTGTTTTTGAAGCCTAATTTGAACACTTTTAGACCTGGAGTCTTCAAATTTGCGTTGTATATAAAGTTAATCGATACAAAGATTTTGTGATTTACAGATTTTGGATACCACGCCCCCTTTTCCCCCAATTTGTAAAAAACGCATTTCAAATACTAGAGACTTGGGCTTTGGAATGTACACATATATTCACCATATGATTACACTCTAAAAGTTTCATTAAGATCGTATGTCTACAAAAGAAATTATTCAACAAATAAATTCTCATAATATTGCCCACACTGCAGCGCAACCCAAGCGCAGTCGCTGCTTACTGCGCAGTTAGCAGAGCGCAGGCTTGTGCGTGCGTGTAGATGCATGTGTATGTATGTGTGCATAAAAGAAGTGCAGAATGATTAGAATATCAGCTTGGAGGGTTCAGGGTATCTCCTAGTCGAGCAGTCTCGACTGGAGCCTTCTTACTTGTTATTTGCTCAAGTTGCTTTTGCGCGTTGTTTGTGTTTAATTATGGATAACTGTACATGTGTGTGTGTGTGTGTGTGTGTGTGTGTGTGTGTGTGTGTGTGCTTACATATGTGCGTTGTGTTATTATACAAGGAGCTTACATAGCTATTCTCGTTATTGTATTGCTCTTTCTCTCGCATTCTCCCTTTTTCATTGTCTCCCTCTCTCTCTTTCTCTCTCTCTCTCTCTGTTAGCTACTTGTGTGCTCTGCTGGCCTTTTTGGCTTGTTTAACATTTGAAATTCATATTCAAACACACACATACACATACACACACACACACGCACAAACGTGGGCAGCGCTGCGCTTGTCTTAGGGCCAACTTCCGTTTCCGGTTTGTAAACAAATGGCGCCAGCGAACGATTAATTATTTCGTTTTCGATTTCGTTGCCTTTTGTCTATGCTGGTGGCAGGACACGTGCCGCCGTCAACGCCGCATGTCCCTAACACGCACTGCCACGCCCACGCCCACACCCACGCCCATACTCACAGCCACACCGCCTGCTCCCCCCTTTGGACCGGTTCGTCGCGTCGGTTTAATCCAAAAACTGGAAACACAAACAATTTCCTGCATTAGCACTGATAAATCGTTTGTTAAATATTTGAACTATTTTGGGTCGCGCCGCAGCGATTATGCATTACTTAATAATGTCATAGAGCTTATCGATTCATCGATAGTAAATATTATTAGAATTGTGATAGAATTGGAGAGGATGGGGCGGGACTGTTGGATGCCTGGCTATAGCTTGAAGTTCATGTTTTTGCAATTAATGATTCGTTTATTGACAATTGCTTAGATTTATCGATAACATATCTCTGTTGATGAAGGCAAGTATTGATGAGAATTGGCTAAAGTCTCTAATCTATTATATTGGGTGGGATGGTCTGTTATCGATTTATCGATTACAAATCTGCGTCATGAGTGCATCTGATTATCGCGCACTTGGTAATCCTTTTTGAAAAATCGAATGCAGCTATCGACATATCGATGTATCGATAGTATATATGAGCAGATTTACTAGGGAGCCAGACACTTATTTAAGTCTACATTAGGGATGCAAAACAATCGAAAGTACTATCTATAGTATAGACGGTTCGATAGTTTTCAAATCAATCGTTTTACTATCGATTGTTTTCACTAGCGACTGTGAACAAAAATCGATGGCCACCCTATCGACAGTTTTGCATACCTAGTCTACATTAGATAGACTTGTTTAGAAGCGACGTTAATTCCATTTCGATAACTCTGCTTAGCAATGACATCGAGTTGAACTTTCACTAATTGTCTAGACAATTTATATGATATTTTCAAAATTACATTGATTGCGTTTGGTTATAGGCCTATTATCCTAACTTATTTAATTTATGCCTGCTCGATAACATTTCAGTACTATTGCCAGTTGTTATCGTTTGTTCATTAACTGTGCGAATGCCATAATTTGCTTTCAGAATTGTGCAGGCGTTAATTGTTATTATGCAAATTGTTATCGTTATTATTTGTGCAACAGCAATTACAATTTCAGTCTGAATCGCTTATCGTCTATCGATAAATTTTTAATTAACGCTGCGGACAGGCGAATTAGCAGAGGCGAATGTCATTTTAAGTAGCTTAATGCCTTTCTCTATTCGCATTGTTGCTCTGGCCTATCAATAAACCAATTTTCGCACAATTGCTACACGCTTCTCTGCGTCTGAGTGTGTGTGCGTGTGTGTGTGTGTGTGTGTGAGTGTCTGCCTCTGTGTGTATCAGAAACCACAACGTGGCACTTTTTTGGCAAGTTAATGTGTTATACTTAGGTGCTTCGCACACGTGCGCACACACACACACACATACACACAATTGCGGGTCGTAATTAATGATTGAGCGCACATACACACAGGCACACATGCATACGCACACGCACACGCACTTCCTCTCACACTCACTCACACACACACACATACAGACACTCGCCCACCCAGTCAAACTTTTGCCTAACAAGCGCCTGCCCTGAAAAGTATGCTACAATTTGCGTTGCGGGCAACAAATATGCTGCTCATTATTTTTAGAGCTACGCACAGCCCACACACCAACACACACACATGCACACACACACACACACATAGGTACGCACACCACACGCATATAAATTATGTTTGGGCTTCATTATGCCAACTGCTTTTATGACCCAGGCCCAGGAGTGTGAGTGTGTGTGTGTGTGAGTGTGTGTGTGTGAGTGCATGTGTGGGTGTATATGAGTTTGGCATATTTCGGCAGACTCCGCATTAAAAATCAATTCACAAACTTTGCACGTAGCTTCAAGTGAAGTGTGTGCCATGTGTGTGTGTGTGTGCATGTGTGTGTGTGTGTGTGTATGTGAAGTGTATGTTGTGTATGCAACAGCAACAGCTTTTTATGCGGCTTTGATGAAGCAATCGCTGCTGTTGCTGCTGAATGGCTAATATCAAGCACTCCCTCTGCTCTCTCTTTCACTCTCACTCATGCTGTCTCCTTCTGTTTCTCATTAAAGGCAGTTAGTCAACATGGAATGACCCAAGCTGCTTGTGCTGGAACACACACGTGCTCGGAAGATGCTGCAACAGCCAACAACAACAGCAGCAGCAGCAACGCCAACAGCAACAGCAACAACTGAAGCAGCAGCAGCAACAATTGCTGCAACAGCTGCAACTGGCAATGGGCAGCGACGTCGCGTGGCAGCTAGCGACAGCTGCGGCACTCATAATAAAAGCAACAACAACAAACTAAAGTCACAGCCAATGCATTCCAACGAGGAGCCGCCCACGTCGGTGATCGTCGACGGCGGCAACCAGCAGCAGCAGCAGCAGCAGCAACAGCAGCAGAAGCTGCGACGCAGCGCCAGCGCCAGCGGCAGCAGCGGGCAGCAGCAGCGACTGCGCAAGACGAGCTCATGCAGTGCCAGTGCCAGTGCCAAGGCCACGCCCACGCCGCACACGCGCCGCCCACACAGACAGCATTCGAATGCCTCTGACTCGATGCAAAAGCAACAGCAGCAGCAGCAACAGCAGCAGCAGCAGAAGCAACAGGAGCAATCGCATCGCTATCAGCCAGCTGGACGCGCTGGCAGCAAGGAACGCACTGAGGCGGCGCGTAGGCGTGGCACACGCCGCCACAGCGTCGCCTCGACGCTGAGCGAGGCAACAGCTGGCGCCGTCCAGCGTCGCACGCGCGACACCGGCCGAGACTCGGCCGGCAGCTCCTCGACGGCGTCCAGCTGCAACGGCAGCTGCAGCTCCGACGATGGCGACTCGACGCACTCGTCCTCCTCCTCGTCCAGCTCGTCGGGCGAGCCGAATCTGCCCTACCCAGGCTTCCCGGAGATTGCCATGAAGGCGCTCACACAGTACACGCGACCGCGCAACTGGTGCCTGATGCTCATCACCAATCCATATCCTTTTTAAACAAAGCACATGTGCCGCAGACACCAAGGGCTGTCCTTGCATCGGCCACATACATACATACATCTGTATGTGTGTGCAAGGGTATATATAGCATGTGTGGGTAAATATAGGTATATCGCTGCTGCGGCCTATTGATTTTTAGTGTCTGCTCGTGCCCGCTGGGAAGCTACGTACTCGAAGGTACATCTGAAAGTGAAGCGGGTGCTCAGGACCGACTAGACGATACCCTGAAGGTGAGAGAAAAGCTGAAGGAGCAATAGGCTGAAGTGTCTATATACCAAATTTGATGGGGCTAAGTCCTGAATTTTGGGATGCGCTTCACATTATCATTTCATTTGATATAGCGAATCCATATGGACATTCAAGTATCCTGCTCTTATACTTCCAGAGATCAAATAGTTTATATAGAGTAGGCGTAAGAATACAGAAACGGTCGAACGAATAATTAGATGGACGGATAGTCAGGTAGACGGATAAGATTGATGGATAGTTAGATAGATAGTTCGAAGGATAGTAAAAGGGAGAAGCAGACAGAAAGATGAGCTTATGGACGAACAGACCGAACGCGTGAAATCAGTGGAGAGAGAGAATGAGAAAGAGAGAGAGAGAGAGAGAGAGAGAGAGAGAGAGAGAAAGAGAGAAAGAGATAGAGAGATAGATAGAGAGAGAGAGAGAAAATTTTAATAACTCTATATAGATCCTACTTGAATATCAAGAAATCCCGTATAAACCGCTTAACCAATATGTCTATAATTTGATTTACCTTTTACGCTTTCCGCTAGGTCTCAATGTCAAATTGGATGTTTATAGAGCATGCATATTATAAATATAAAATGCCATCGAGAGTCTGTGTACCAAATTGCATTACTTGGGAGACCTTGATTACCAATATCAATATACACCCCATGCAATTAAATACCCTTTACATATTTATAAGTTAACCTTGATATGTTCGCCCTGCACACTCTGAACTGGCTGGGGTAGCTTGGCATAGCATGCCGAGCTCTACCGAAGATGGCCCACTTTGTCTGTTCATCCAACTACCCACACTCTCAGTTACAGGGTATTCACTGCCTGTGAGCCTTGAAATATTTGCGTTTTATTTATTCATTTTTTTCGTACTTGCCTGCCTGTTGCAAAATATATGCCTACATATGCACTCACACACAAACACGTGTTTGTGTGTGTGTTTATGTGTGTGTGTGTGTATCGCATAAATAACATATATCGGCGTAGCGGAAGACGCTGCCCGAGTTGCCAATCGCCATTTGCAGTCGCTGCTTCCTGTTCTGACATTTCTGTCCTTGTTTTCGTTTTCCTTTTTTTTTTTTTTTTTTTTTTTGCTCTCTTCTTTTTTTGCGCCTTGTCATTTGCAGTGTCCTTCTCCTTCATCTTCTTCTTCGCCCTGGCTGATGTTGCTGTTGTAGTCGCTAGGGGATAATGTGCGGCAATCAGTGCCCCGCCCCCCGCTCCGCCCTGCGCTCTGCTCGTGACAGGCAGCGCGAGCTCGCCTCTGGCATGTGCATGAAAAATCGCTTTGCATACTTTTGGGCGCACTTCACATTTAATTTAACCTGAAATTAAAATTGACTGACGTTGATATTTAAGATGAACACATTTCATACATTAAAACCAACTCAGCCCACATAGTCAACAGATGCTGTGCCATTAAGTGCTTTCTTATGCAGCCAGCTGTCCTCCAGGACCGCAAGAACTAACCGAGTGGGGCATAGCAGCCGAAGGATAAATTAAATTCAATTACACTCTAGTCGACTGCGTGGCACTCGTAGACGCTCATCATGCAGCATCATGCTGAGATTTTTCCTATTTGCATGCATATCCATATACGTAAGTCGGGTAAATGCATCAATTTTATAGTTTTATAGTTATTAGTTGATATTATTAGAAGACTCTTTATACTCCAAGCGATATTTTATTATTATAGATATACACTAGAAACAATCGAATTGTTACTTCTGTGTAGCAGTCGATGCTATCGATAATCGATGAAAGATGTTAAGCTGAATGAGTTATTCAGTTTTGGCTAAACCAAAGCTTTCTCAAGAAGTTCCAGATTCCCGCTCGAAACTTCAGCCAAAACTCAACTGAGTTTCCACAGAGCTTCAAGTCTCAGTTGCTGTTCGTTCTCTCTGTTCGGGAAATCCTAATGGAAATCCATCCAATCCATAGCTATTGCAGCTGGGTTAGTTCGTAGAAAAGCCTAATTCTAATTGGATGTAGTGTTGGGACATGCATAAATAATCAACTCCATTCTAAAGATTTGCTTCAACTTCTCTATGTTGGGTATTTGAGAGGAAAACTGTTTTTGGGTTTGCTGTCGGCGGCAACTGTCGGTTGCCACAAATAGATTTTGAGTTGAAACTATTTATTGCATTTGCCCATTTTCCGAGTTTTCCGGACATCTTTGTGGCATCTCAATTGCTATTTCCTGTCACTTTCCGTTGTTGCTGCTTCCCAGATTCCTAAGCGACACACACACAGACACATACACAGACAGGCAGACAGACAAAGAGAGATTGTGAGGGTGAAAGAGAGAGAGAGAGTGGGGGGGAACTAGTCTGTGCCAATTACCAGCTGCCAGCTGCATTGCTCAGCCAGCTACAATAACACGATAATCGCACCCTTGGCGCCCCTTAGCTAACCCCTTTGATAAGCTTCCCTGTCGCTTGGCCTGCCCCACTTAATTGTTGGCTATAAATTTTGATTTTGTCATTGTTCAGCTGTCCCTTGGGCGATATCTTGAGAGTTTCGCAAAGTTTTTCCTGCTAGCCATAGCTGCTGCAGCTGCTTGCCTTCCCTTATCAATTATTGTTGATCGGATTGCAACGTTTTGTTGCAGTCAGCGCGGCGTCTCGATTCAATTGGCATTCCTCATAATCAATTTCATAACTGCATTAAGTGCGACCCCTAAACTAATTCCGAGTTGAAAACTTTACTGGTTCGCCTCGTCTACGTGGCGCTGCTCAATGCCAGAGAGAGAGAGCGATGGATGTGGATGAAGAGGCAGAGCGAAGCGGAATGTGCGAGGTCAACTGCGACATTTGCCAAAAAGTGTTAACGCCGCCTTCAAGTCGCCAGCTGCGATACGGCTGTGTCTCCTCGTATCTCCATGTCTCATTGTCTAATTCGGCGGCTTCCTTGTCTAATTGTGTCTTTGTTTTCCCGTTCGACTATCTCTCTCATATCTCACATCTCATATTTCATATATCTTTTATCTTATATCTCCTATTTCATATCTCACATCTCATATCTCATATTTCATATATCTTTTATCTCATATCTCCTATTTCATATCTCACATCTCATATCTCATATTACATATTTCATATCTCATATCTTTTACCTCATATCTCCTATTTCATTTCTCATATCTCATATCACATATTTTATATCTCATATCACATATCTCATGTCTCATTTCTCATATTTCATATATCTTTTACCTCATATCTCCTATTTCATATTTCATATCTCACATCTCATATCTCATATTACATATTTCATATTTCATATCTCATATCTTTTACCTCATATCTCATGTCTCATTTCTCATATTTTATATTTTATATATCATGTCTCATATCTCACATCACACATCTCATGTCTCATATCTCATATCTCACATCTTATATCCCATATCCCACATCACATATCCCTTATCTCATATTTCATGCCTCACATCTCATAACACTCCTCTTCACTCTCTCTCTCCCTCTCGCCCCGTCATTTAAGCAAGCCAGAACAGCTTTCAGAAATCAGAGAACTGCCCTATATTGAAGCAGGCAGGAGACATTGGGGGAGCGTAGTGTACACATCATTAGCATGCGAGCAAAGTAATGCGATATCCACGCCCACAACTAATTATGGCATCTACTTAATAGCAATGAATCGCAGCGCAATCTCATTAGCCATGCGCCCCGCTGCCTTCAGCAGGACCCCGCTGCCGCCCAAGCACCGCTTTGACCTCGCTGATTGCCAAGTGCTTGAGATTACATTACATGCCTTCATCGATAGCTCCAATTGCAGCTGCCATTCGAATCGGGGACAACAGGTGGCCAGGCGGTGGCACGGGGTGTGGATCAGTGGCTCGGCGGCTCACCTCTCGGCATGCCAATTATTTCTGATTTCCAGAGCACAAGAGCGTAAATTGATATCAATTAGTTTAAGTACAGCGCAGCTACTGAAACCGATATCAGCTTAATTAGGCGCCCACCGATAGGCATCTATCAAAATGCATGTGAGCTCCGCTCTATCTAAACTCAGGGAAGCTAAGCTGAAGTCAAGGTTCAGTTTCTGTGGCATTCAAATTGTGAACCACTTACTTAATATGCCAAATCGATAAGTATCGATAAGAAGTCAAAGCGAAATGCATATGAGTAAGAATGAGGTGGAGGCTGAGACTGAGATTGAGAGTGAGACTGAGAGATTGAGAGACTGAGAGAATGAGACTGGGACTGGGACTGGGACTGAGACTGAGACTGAGACTGAGACTGAGACTGAGACTGAGACTGAGACTGAGACTGAGACTGAGACTGAGACTGAGACTGGGATTGATATTGAGATTGAGATTGAGATTGAGACTGAGACTGAGACTGAGATTGTGAATGACACTGTGACTGACAAGAAAAAGGAGAAGGAGAACGAGAGGACTGAGACTGTGAAGAATAAGGAGAAGGAGAAGACTAAGAAGAAGAAGAAGAAGAAGGAGAATGAGAAAGCGAAGGAAAAAGGGAAGAAGAAGGACAAAGAGAACGAGTGGACTGAGGATGAGACGAGAGGAGAGAATAAGAAGTATAACTAGAATCTTTATTGGAGCTTGTTCCCAACAGATTAGAGATTTTGCCTTAAGCTCCTCCTCGATAGATATCACCTTCACAGCAGCCAAAAACCATTGCAAGCTTCACACCTGTGCCCAATTATCACCTGCGAATAAGCCACACAAATTGCCAGCACATTTGCATTCAAATGAAGGCGCGCTCCCTGCCACTCTCATTCTCTTTCTCTCTCCGTCCCTGCCATTCTCTCTGCCTCTTCTCTACACTTTTTTTATAACAAAATTTCAATTGAATTGGCAAGTTTTTGTGCGGTCTGCCTGTGCCGCGTTGCCAATTATTGCTGGTTTCGCTTTGCCCACACGTTCAGCTCAATGGCCACGCCCATATGCCCACACTCCAGACTTTACATTCTCTTTTGTTTCTTCACCTTTTCGACTCCTTTCATTTGATTTGTTTGTATTTTTTTTACTGTCTGTTCTGGTTCTGCTTCCTCTTCTTCTTCTGCTCGCTGTATTCACAAATTATTCGTGTCCACTCGACTGCAGCGGCTCGACGTTCGACTTTTTTGTTTGGCCGTCTTTTAATTTGTTGCGATTTTTGTACGCTCGCATGCACACACACACACATAGAGAGAGGGAGAGAGAGAGAGGTTTGTGTGTGGGGGGTGTTGTTGGGGCCATTTTTGTTGGCCCACTTTACGCTCGACTTAATTTGTTTACTGTTGGTTTGGTGGCCTTTGCCAACGTCGACGCTGCGCGCCAAATCAAAAATAATGGCAGCTCATGGACCCCGCCCCACCTCCACTCGCACATGCAGCCCCTCTCCAGGGGGAGCGAGACAGCGAGCGAGCGAGCGAGCGAGAGAGAGAGATGCCACGCTGTGTCGCATATTTGCGCTGCTGCAATATTTATACAACGTTCCAGCCTCTCGCTCGCCCACTGACACGCCTCGTTCCGCCCAAAACTTTCACTCACACACACACACACACACACACACACAGGCTGACCTTTTCTCTGTCAGTGTATGTGTGTGCGCGCTTTACACATTGGTTTTATGACACTGGCTCGACCTGACCTGCATATGCCATCCATTTAGCCCGCTCGCAGCGCTCCTAATGAATTGCAAGGACCCCAAAACGATTGTCCTTTTATTTGTTTATATGTATATGCACATTGTTGTTGCTGCTGTTGCTCCTTTTGTGTTCCGTTTTTATCTTTAATTGTGCGTTAATAGCGTAAACATTTTGTGCATTGTATTTCGCTGGCTCGTAATTGCGCGCGGTCATAATAAAACTGGCAGCGTGAGAGGGGCGAAGAGGCAGCGGGAGCGGAAGAGGGAGAGACAAGCACACTGAAATGAGTCCTTGGCGCGCATTTGGCATGCATTAAGCACCCCATTGAAGTCCTTTCATCGTCGTCCTTGGCTTTGTGTATTGAAAACCCGCGAAACGCAGCCGATTTCGCATGTTTGGCCAGACTGCGGGCTATTTGCTGTCGTCGACAGTGCAGAGAGAAGCAACTGCAATATGTTGCTCCGATATTTACATGTTTACTTATCACTATGCTTCTCTTGCACCTACATTCGTCTACTTCACTTGCTTTTATATATTTCAATTGGGTTTACCTTTCAGTCCTTTGAATTTAACTTCGGATTCTGCTTCTCAGCTCGCTTCTTTCTGATTTCAGGAGAACTTCTTTACTCTCTCACTCTCACTCTCTCTCTTTCTCTTTCCTTTTCGTTTATGTTCTTTTTTAGTCCTCGCACTTCTTTTCCTAGTGCCACAATTTCTCTCTTGTTTGTTCCTTCTTCTTCTATTCTCTTTTCGTTTCGCTTCTCACTTCTCGCTTCGTCAATACTACTCAATATATTGTAGATCCTTTGTTTCATTTACTAATTCTATATTTCCTCTTCAAGTCGTACACCTGAAATCAGCTTCTTTCTCTTACCTCAACTACATCAGAGAAGCCTTTGAGCTTCTCTCTTCGTTTCCTCACCAACTCATAGAGCTTATGTGAATTTACCTAGAATGTCGGACTAAGACTTTTACGAAAAGTACACGATTCGTTGCTTCAAGTTTCTCGCTTCAGTCGAAAGTTTATTTTATTATTATTTCTCATCCATGACGCCTCTATTCCAATTCTCAAGCTGTTCTCTGTCTATGCTCTTCATTTCATTAATTCTCAGATTGAGCTTCTCTCTCTCTCTCTCTCTCTCTCTCTCTCTCTCTCTCTCTATCTCTCTCTCTTGCTCTTGTTCACTTATTACGCTTCTCCCTGACAGTCACATAGCAGTCCTAATCCAACTATTTCTTGTGCTGTTTCTGCTTCGCTTCTCCATAAGCTCTAATGCAACTGCAACATGCTGCGCTTCTTGTTCTGCTTCTTGCTTCAGCTCCAGTTGAACTGAGTGCGCAGCCATCCATCAGGCCATGGATGCTAATGCCAATGTTTTCATGGTCGTAAGCTTTGGTTATATTAACAGCCATTTGGCTCTGAAGCAGACTTCAGATTCTGATGGAGTGAGCTGCTCACATCGGGCCGAGACTGGCCCGGACTCGGCGCTGCTCTGGCTAATATGCTGGCTAAAAGGCTTACAGAAGTTCTTGCAACATTGCATTACAATGCCGCTGGCTGGCTGACTGAATGCTGCCCGAGATGAATGAATGACTGACTGAGTGACTGTCATCAATTTGTGCCATTTCTTTCTACCACAAAGCACACACAAAGCGGGCGACAGAGTGCGAGCGAGAGGCGCAGGAGTTGTTGCAAGCATAAGCAGCAACGGCAGCACGTCGAGTACAAAATGCAGCCAAGTTGACAAGCACTTGAGTGCGCATTAGAGGCGATAGTAAACAGCTATCTGGCATCCTTGTGCCTCGTGCCTCGTGCCTCGTGCCGCGTGCCTCATGGCTGCTAGCTCTGCGTGGCATGCCATAAAAACCGAGGCAGCGGACACAGGTCTGGGGGCTGAAGCGGGCACGATTGGGCGCTCGACATGTTTTGCTTAAATCAGCACACAAAAGCAGTCAACAGGCAGGCAATCGCTATGCAAACTAATCCCTCGATGCTCTGTCTTTAACTAAAGAACTTCTCAAGAGAGTTGGAGTCGCATGGAGGATATACTTAGAATCAGATCGAGCAGGTTCTATTTGGGGCTTCTACACAACTTGACTAGGTGGTATTATTTAGCCACCAGCTAATTGATACCTATCGATTAATTTAACTTTAGCTTATATTACTTAGAGAAGAGTCAAGTTTCTCCAAGCGTATCGATTTGATTGTTACCGATTAATATCGACTAGTGATAGCGACGCTCTCAGCTTATAGAAATATGTCTAGCTGTTATGTAGTCTCTATGCATTGTATTCTGAAGTCAGTGTCTTGCTTTGCTTCCTTCATGTTTCCCATGGTGTGCTCCTCTTTTCAATTTGACTTTCGTTTTACCCAGCTCAGCTTCTGCTTCTCTCTTTGGCTTTCGCTTTGCTTCTCTCTTTCCTCATAGTTATCTCCCGGATTTCAGCTTATCAATTTGTTTTATTGATTTCTCTCTTTGGCTTTTCTTGATAAGGCCTCTATAATACTCCGCTCTTTTTTCTAACCCTGAAGACTCTCTGAGTTATTTTATCTCATTTTGTCTCTGGTTTTTCGTTCTTCATCTCACTTACTTTGCCACTCCAAACTTCTCCCACTAGTCTCTTCCTACTGCTATTCCAATGCTCTCTCAGTTTCTCGATTCTCTCACTTATAAAAGGGCATTTGCTAGTCGGACTTGCTATGCTTCGAACAGGTTTATGCATGCTTCCCCTTCATCTTCTTCTTGCGGTATTTTCTTTGGAGTTTTGGTTTCCTTAACTATAGCTGACGATCTGTGTGACATGCACGTGGTTCGAGCGCATCTCGATTCTGGTTATCCTGTTGAACTGCATTACCCTGGGCATGTACCAGCCCTGTGTGGACGATACCTGCTTGAAGCCGCGCTGCAAAATATTGCAGGTGAGTAAATACATACATGTATGCGATACCTAAATACATATATATATATATATGTCTATGTGGAGGTAGGAGGTAGAAGGTGGCAGGTGGTAGGTGGGAGGTGGGAGAGAGTGGAAGCCTTGAGCTGCCGACGCTGGCGTCACATTAACTGTCATTTATTTAAGCAATTTTTTGGCTCACTTCCTGTCTGCCTCGCTGATGACATCAAACAGGCACTTCGGCTCATTAGGCAGCTAACGCACACACCGTGGGGCTGGCGAGGGCGGGGCAGATGCGGGGAAATGTGAGCTGGTTCCTGGGGTTTTTCTTTTTTTTTTAGGGCAATTACAGAGCCACGGCTCTGGTATAGAAAATGTTTCCCTGGGAGAGGAGGGGCGGGGACGGCAGTGGGGGTGGAGCGTCGCCAACGTGCGAAAATGTTTGTAAATGATATGGAAGGCAGACATTTTTGGCCGCAGCCAAGTGTAAAGCGTGCGAAGGGCGACAAATTGGCAAAGCGGGCGGGGTCGGAAGGGGGCAGCGGGGCAGCGGGGCAACGAGGCCAGCCCAAAAGTGAGACCGAGATGGAGACGGAGATGAGGACCGAGCACGAGCCAGGACATAAGTGGCGCCCAAATTGCTGAGAATTGTTTGAGCAGTGCCAAAAAGACAGAGACGGCAAGAGAAGACACAGAGTGAGAAAGGGACAGCGCAATGCGACTAGAAGTCCAAATGGAATTGGAACTAAAGTTGAGACCCAAACTGAAGCAGAAATTGAAAGTGAAACTGGAAATGGAACTGGAACTGGAACAGCTCCTGCTGAGCTGCGTCGGTTCCTCAGTAGTTTTGTCTGTCAACGCGAGAGTCTGGGGTGGGCGTGGCACTTCATGCATGGTGTAGCAACACGTAGTGCTAGCCAAAGTGGACAACAGCTCATTTTGACAAGTGTCAACCACATTACGCTTTAGGCACTAAATGAGCCACACGCTCACTCTACTCATCTACCTCTCCCCTCTACCCAGCTCTCTCCCTCTCCCTCTCTCGCGTATTCTCTAAATGCCTCTGCTTGTCACACTTCATTATCTCAGTTAGTTCAGATTCCAGGCAAAATCAACTCTGCAGTTAAGCTGAATCAAGCTAACTCAAGTTAACTCGGAAAAAGAGCTCGGGTGATGAGGGCAATTGGAGTAGGTGCATAGCTACAGAAGCGGGGCAGATTATGGAAAATGATATATTTGAGTTATGTAACAATCATGTCAGCTATGAGCCCAAGCAACGAAGCCAATAGATCTGTCGCAGGACTCTGAGAAAACGACGTTCCCTCTTAAGGCTAAGCTCAGCTCTTACTGGGTCCTCAATATACAGATAGACACAAATAGATAGATATTTAGATACACAATATCAATATTATAGTAATCGGAATTAGATGAGTATGATACTATAGTCAACTATCGACACACAAGTCTATCGATACTTAGCTATAGTGCCATCGATACTCGATGCAAATGTCATTAGCAGAAGAGGATGAAATAGAAGAGTAAATGATAAATGATTCAAATGAAAACTGAAGTAAGGAATTTCCCTATATGCATAGATATATGTCTATATATAGCGGCATATAATAGCCATATCTAATTCCATTCATTCATATATCACTCAAACAGATCTTCGATGACATCATCTTTGCCTTCTTCGCCCTGGAGATGACCATCAAAATGGTGGCCATGGGCATGTGCGGCAAGAACACCTATTTGGCCGACTCGTGGAATCGACTGGACTTCTTCATCGTGCTGGCCGGGCTGCTGGAGTACGTGATGCATGTGGAGAACCTGAACTTGACAGCGATACGCACGATCCGAGTGCTGCGGCCGCTGCGCGCCATCAATCGCATACCCAGTAAGTGCGCACTACCGTCGGGTAGTCACTCTCCACCCATTGAACCACCACTCTCGTTGCAGGCATGCGAATTCTGGTGATGCTGCTGCTGGACACGCTGCCCATGCTGGGCAATGTGCTGCTCCTCTGCTTCTTCGTGTTCTTCATCTTCGGCATTATCGGTGTGCAGCTCTGGGAGGGCATCTTGCGACAGCGCTGCACTCTGGAGCGACCCGAGGGCATGATCTATCCCATAACGTAAGCGAGTTTAACTGAAGTCCCCATTTCCCCCGCTTGGGAATTATTTGCTCTTTTTGATTTCACTTTTGATTTCATTTTGTGTGGGGTGGGGAACATTCGTTTCGATCGACTCGATTCGACTCGATCGATTCGATTCCACGGACTGAGCTCAACTGAGCTGACGACGCGTTTGGGTCACATATGTCTGTCTCTGTCTCTCTGCAGGCGCCTTCAATGCATATATATATATATATAAGTACCTGAATATCGCTTTGATATATCATTTTCAGTTTGTTTTGATTCTCTTTTACATATGTATATATATATAGATCTTATATATATATCTTTTTGATATGATTTTTGACTTTGATTTTTGATAACTGCTTAGCTCATTTCAGGCTCTCTATCTCTCCCTCTCGCTCTTTCACTTAGTCTTTCTAACTCTACATTGCTCTCTCACTCATTTACCAACTCACTTGCTCTCGCTCTCTATTTCTCTCTCTCTCTCTCTCTCTCTCTCTCTCTCTCTCTCTCTGTCTCTCTCTCGCTGACTCTTTTTTGCTTTCTCTCTCGCTTTTTCTGGGCTGCCTGGCTGTTAATTCATGTGTTTTGTTTTTGTACTTTTTTGTTTCCTTGGCTTTTGCTTTTTTGATTTTTGGTAAATGCCACTGACAGCTTACAGCCACACAGCCACACCCACACCCGCCCACATACACGCACACACACACGCACAGCGATTTCTGCTGTAAATTGTCCATTTGCATACAAAATGCTCAGAGCGTTCGTCAAATTTGACGTCTGGCAGCGCTGCTCATTTGAAGCAGTGTTGTAAAGCGCACGAGTAAAAGTGTTCAACACGCACGCACACAGACACTGTTGACTGGAGCCATCGACATAAGCATGCCAAATTTTAGTCTATTCTCAGCTTAAGTGGGCCCCGAGTGCTTGTAAATGACTTGCAACGGCAGAAGGCGACCATGGAGGACGGAGGACGGAGGGCGGAGGATGGAGGAGGGGATGGCAACATAGTTTGCGTTAAAGGCCAATAACTGAATATGGAAAATGCCAAATGGCAAACATAATGTCTCCCAGTGACCATGGAGAATGCTCAGCCACTCCCATTCGCCCCATGCTATGCCCCAGGCTGTGCTTTGTGCTCAAGCTATGTTTGGAGCTGGAATTCAATTAGGGTAGAGCCAAAAGTGGAGAGATGCTCAGACCCAACACTGAACAAGCGATCAAGTGGGACAGGTGTTGAAGTGAGCCCCTAAACTGCCTGAAAGACACCAAAACCCAAGCTAATCTATCTTGCAGTCCTCACAAAGTGATCATGGCAGATGTTGACTGTGGGATAGCCACGCCTATTTGTAGAACTCTGATCAATTTGTTCATGGTTAAGCTGAATATGAATTCAAAATCAGCATAGAGCCGCTTTGGGTTGCTTATTTAACATAGAAAGAGTGACGATGAGGGAGACTCAATATGATAGATCTTCGACAATATCGCTTTACTAGGGTAACAATTCATACATAGCTGAAGATAGGCCACGTAGAATACGTGTATATACATACATACATATATATATATATAATATCAACTCGATTTGCCATGCCAAACTACAAATAGAGACAATCTATTAGATAGATCTACTGCCTCAATCAATAATAAAATTGATTTTTAAATCAAGGAACTACATCTAATATGTAAGGATTATACAAAAAAGTGACCATGGACTAAGAGTCTATATAATAAAATATTTGAATGTGTCCAAGGAGGAGCTTCAATATGATATACAGTAGAATCCGGTTAAAACGACTCCGCTTATAGCGTTTATACGGTTATAGCGACGAAAATTCTGGTCCCCAGCCAAACTTTTATGAGCGAACTTATACGGTTATAGTGCCTTCCGGGTATAACGACGTTATATTATATTATACGCCGGATTATACTGTATCTCCTTTCTCAGGGCACACAAAAAGCTGACCATGAAGAAAGATCAATAGGATAAGGATTCTGGACCTAGCCTTGTAGAACAAATAATATGCATTAGTTCAAGCTTACGCCAGAGTTTTTCTTTTCTCTTCTCAGTCAGCTCAAACAATGGAGAATATCGATTGTCACTTGGCAGTTTTCTGGTCACCTTGATATGATAGTGCCTGAGTAGCTGCCCAAAGGCATATGTCAACTCCATGGTCACTTTGGCCAAGCCCAAGCATGTAAATGGGGGCGGGGCTGTCTTTAGCAGGCGCCCCTTGGCTCTGACAGCTGGCAAAGATTTCAAACTTGGCAAACAATCATTTATCACTGGTCATGCTCCGTCTATGGCTGTCTCTCTCTCTCACACACACACATATTCACTCTTTCTCTCTCTTTTTCTCCGTGCAATGACGTCAGTAGCACACACACACACACACTCGCAGCTGAACACCCAAATGTAGGCAGCATAAAGAATCGTTTGCTTTACTTCTTTGCTTTCGTTTGCCGTTCTTGTTTTTGTTATCGTTAATCGATTGTTTTTGCATGCAGCAACAAACTGTACCTGGGTGGCCGGAAAATAGGCCACACTTGCAGGTGTTAATTTGACGCCATTTTTCGCTGCCTCGCATAATTACTGTAAATGCAAATTGCCCATGGCCCACATGTGTATATACCTATATACCATACCATATATACACCCATATATATATATACAGGGCCATGTATATATCTATATAAATCCTCGTTTGCATTTCCATCATAATTTTTCATATATTTTTTGTGTTCACATGCAAATTTGGTCCACTTTTTTTCCCCATATTTATTTAAACGGACAGCACTTTCCGTGGCTTGTCGAATTGATATATGCTCAATTTATGCTTTTATGCTCGTTCACCACAGCAATGGAAGTATATAGGCTTTACTTGCAATGAACCTTGCAATTCTCGTAGCCAAACAGGATTATCAAATATTATATCTAGTCCTTCGACTCATCTATACCGTTTTTTCTACAGATTAGTTGAGGTTCAAATCTAATTGAGGTAGAGTTTTCCATTTGAGTACATTTTCTTCAATCTTCCTTCAATATATTTGCATACACTTTCCTCGCTTAACACCAAATTCCTTCAGCCTGCTCACTGAGAACCCAAAAGTGTCTAATCATGTTGAAGGCTAACAGCTAAGCGACGAAATGTCAGCGCACTGAGGCCATGACAAAGGACTTTGTGTCGAAGTTCACGTTGCTTATTAATAATTGAGATGGAGTATCATTTCATTTTCAAGTTTGCAAGTACTTTGACCTCTTTGGCAGGTGTTGGATCATTGTTAATTGAAGCGCAATTCAAATTAAAGCCTTACACAGTTGAATTTTATAGATGCCTTAAACAACTGCCGAGATACCAAGATAACAAGTAGCGTGAGCGAGTATTTTTAGGTCGGTTAAGGCCGACTGTAGAGCTTAACATGTTTTTTTGCTTTTTTTTTTTTTTTTTTTTTTTTTTTTTTTTTTTTTTTTGTTTTCGATAGCACTCAAGTTGTCTTTGGACCGATTTGTAAATTTTTGTAATAAATAAAAAAAAAAAAAAAATTTTTTTATGGCTGTCAATTTATGTTGTTTTACTTTTCCTTAAATTGAGCCCAGGAATCGGCTTAAAGTATACACGTCTGACATAGCACAGAGTGCAGAGCTATTTCCGACTCTATTGTCCAAGATCACAGGCTGCTTCGCTCTATAAAGCATAGAGCTAGATAGTTGATTTATACAAAATTTGTTGAAAGTTGAATTATTTTCAGTTTTGCTTCTTAAAAAGTTGAGCTTTTCGTTTTTGATTTGTGTATATACATATCTATATAGTTATATTAAGTTTTGTTATTTTTGAAGTATTTTTATTCGTAATTTTTGTCTACATACCCAAGCTTTAATTGTAATATAGGTAGTACGACTAGTTGTATACATATATGTGAGAAACTTCTCCTAGCTGCAGCTCAGCTCAATATAAAAGTATTTTGAGAGTATAGGTTGGGTATCGCTGTTCCTAGGATATATTTGAATTGATTTACACCACTTGTATTATACATTCTACTCACACGCACACACACATATACATGCATACACGCTCACAGACATGTGTACAGTCACGTGCAAAAGCTACTACAAAAGCCATTCACAATGGGCAGGCGCGTTTACTGTATTCACACATATCTTCTTCTTATTCTACATTTTTGATGATGAGCAGACAACAGACCAAATAACAACAGCAACAACAACTACTACAACAACAACAACAACAACAATAAACAACAAACTACAAAATGAGAACAAACATCAGAAATATACCACACAAAAAAATACCACATGTACACTGACCTATGTATATCTATATTTAAGTATATTTCAAAATTCTGTTCAAATCTTTTCTTTTCTTGATTTCAATTTCTTTTCCTTTTTTTCGTATTTTTCGAAATGTTTTTATTTTCCTTTTTTATTTGAAACAAGTCGAAAAACGATAATATAAAAACAAAAATACAATAATTTAATTTAATTGGCACTGAGTAACTGAATATATATGTATACAAAAAAAAATACCAAAAACTTATTTTTAATTCAAATTTAGTTTCAAAACCTTTTTTCAATTCTCTTCAATTATTGTTTATCGCATTTAGTTTCGAATAAGTTTTTCTTGGTTTCCAATTAGTCAATCAAATAAAAATAACAAAAAATCATTATTAATACCAAAAAAAAGATACTAAAACAAAAATCATACCGGGAACAAACTTTTTGTTTACAGGGGACTACCTGAAGTGTACAGAGTTCGAGTCCGTGTTAACTCGTAAGATAAAATGATTTATTTTCCCCCCTTTCTTAAAATGCCCTTAATACACTACAACAGCAACAGCAACAACAACAACAAAAACAACACAGATTAATAACACCAACAAAACTACAATAAAATACCAAATTTTAAACAATTATTTACCAAATATATACCACACAAATACTAACTGAGTAAATTTGATTAACAACACAACAACACACACACTTACACACACACACACACACAGTATATAAGTACCCTAGTCGTCTAATATAGCTCTCGCTCTCTATTTCTCTAGTGTACTCTCTCTTTCTCTCTCTCTCTTTCCTTAACTAGCAATATATACTCTCTCCCTCTCTTTCTTCCTCTCTCTCTCTTTCTATACTAACCCTGAAGCTAGCTAGCGCTCGCGCGCTGCCTGATCTCCCCCAGCGATAATTCATATATCGCAAGCACTAATCCTTATTCGTGTTACACGCTCTACCGCTAACACTCCCTTTCTCGCTCTCTCTTTCTCTCTCTCTCTCTTTCACTCTCTACCTTTATTAGTCTTTCCTTTAGCTTTACCCTCTCAAATGCTAGATTCAATATATATGTTTTATATACCTTAATAACTTTCTGATACTCAATCTCTATCTCTCTCTCTCTCTCTGTCTATCTCTGTCTCTGTCGTACACTTTCTTAGTAATATTTGCCGATATATACATACTAAAATACTTACTTAAATACTCTTAAACTTATAATACTTAAACCATATATAGACTATATAAACTAGAGCTTAACGAAAACATCTGCTCAATTAACCAATTGTCAAACACAACACTACTCCACTATTGGCCTCACACGTTATGCAACACTGTACAATGCAACGGAACTTACCGAAGCTGTGCGTCCGCAATAGCCACAAGAAGTTTGAAAGCCTGGAAGCATAAGCTTCACTAGATATATCTACTAAAATCACTCGAAACCGTGTGATCAGATAAGCTTGAAACAGACGAAGCCTGAAATGCAATATTGTATCGTATGCTTAAAGCTTTTCCTTTTGTCAATCAAGCGAATCTTTGGTGTATACACACATGATATTAAGCTTCTCACTTTTCTTTGAGTATTTTGATCACTGTAAGCAGCTTGCGTTTCCTTAACTTATCACTTACCAAAGCTTTTTGCTGCTTCTCTTTAGGCTTCACGCTGCAAGCTTATCTATTCTGTGCAAGCTACTCTCTTGCCTTTGCGTTGATCGCCTTTTTTCGTCAAGCTTCTCACTGAGCTTTTCTCTTCGCGTCAAGCTGATTTCTTACTTTCGAGCTTGACACTGCTCTCTTAGTTTCTCTGTTAACTCATCTGTTCTGTAAAGGCATTTGCTGCTCTCTGAGCTTCTCAAAAGAATTCCTAAACTTAAACCGGCCAAAGCTTCTTGCGGTCATCGGTCAACAGTCCTTACTGAAAGTATGTACACTCACATTCTAGCACTGACAGACACACACACACACACATGCACACCTGCAGCAGATGCTACTATAGTCACTCGTAATGTGTTTTTGTAGCCAACTTTACGTGTGTGAACCCTGTGTCAATGTCGTAGTGAATATAACTCTCTCTCTCTCTCCTCCCCAGTTTCCCACTTTTATTTTGTTGTATGTGTGAGTGTGTATATGTATTTGTGTCCTTGTATTCGTTGTATTCGTACTCGTACTTACTTGTTAATGTTTTAGCAACAGTTTCTCACTCGAACTTAAACAAAACTATTTTATTTCGTTTCTTTGTGTTTCTAGACTTGATGTTAACAGTGTGTGCGTATATATGAGAGTATCAGTGTGTGTGTGTGCGAGTGTTTTTCTTTTATCCAGTACTCTTTGATTTATATTGAGTTTTCAGTTATGTTTTTCGTTTCGAATTGCCTTTGAAACCGAATCCGAATATGAAAAGCGACTATGAAAAATGGGTAACAATTTTGTTCAAGCATATCAATTAGTCTCCCCACACACACACACACACACACGCACACGCACACACATCACACAGAGACACACACGCACACATTTTGTTAGTTTTTGTTTTAGAGCGTTTTCATAGCGTAGTCTTTGCGATAGTTTCTGTTTCTATTTCTGTTTCTGTTGCGATTACAGCTGCAAAATTTTCGTTACATTTTCGTTACAATTTAGCTATATGCAATTATTTTCACTCAAACACATACACACAGACACACACACGTACACAGTTGCACCCTAAAACTGATGCTATCTATGTTTTGTAAGCTCAACTCTTTTTACAGGAAAAACCATCAGTTTCTATTGCAAAGGTATTTAAAGCTGCCCGGCCCCAACTCTAGCTTAACATAACAAACCCACATTGTGGTGCTCCCCCCTCCCCCCCTCGCCACCTCTACCCATCGCTACCGCGCCACCTCCCCAACAGAGCTCAAACACTCACACAGCTTGCCGCAAATGGCAGCTACAACAATAATCAAAATTAAAGTCGCATTACAAGCTATATGCACACACTCACACTCACACACACACACCTGTGTCTCTCTCGCTCGCTTGCTCGTTCGCTCTATCAAAAAAGTTTAGCATACTTTTGCGCGCGAGAATTTTCGCATTTTTATTTCCATTTTTTTTCGCGTTGTTTCACACATTTTCACGCACACACACACATACACAGGCCCACACACACGCACACACATGTACAATTACGTTGACATTTTTGTGTGTGCGCCGCGTCACGCCCCGCTCTGCGGTGGTGCAGCCTCTGCGCCCCCCTTGCCCCTGCAGCCGCCGGTGCGTTTAATTTAAATTGCTTTGCCTTTACTTTTGCTGTTGCTTCCTTTGTTCTTATCTTCTTTTAAGTCGTTTTCCTTTCTCTTCTTTTATTTTTCTTTAATTTTTGTTGAGCTTTACGTTTTAATTTTGTGGCTGCTTCTTTTGAGTGCGCACTTTTTGTGGTCTGCGGCTTAGTCGCAATTTTATGGTCTCTCAGACACGTTCTCTCTCTCGCATTCTCTCTCTCTCTCTCTCTCTAACTCTCTTTCACTCGACTTGTGCTGCTATTGTGCTTGTAGCCTGATGTGCTTGAGCTGTATTTACATTGTGCGTGCTTTGATCTTGCCAAAGCTTCAAACTTTTTCTGTTTTTCTTTCTCTCTCTCTTAAACTTTCGCTTTGTTCTGGCTCTCACATGCAAGCTGAACGCCTCAAAGCTTTTTTATATTTATGCTGCGGGCCTCAGGCCTCGCCCCTTTTTAAACTCACGCTTTTAAGCTTTACAGCTTTGAGAATTTGCCACTATCACTATTTCCTTTCCTCTTTCTTAGAAAAGCTTTAATGCTCCCAAGCTCTTAGCTTGACTGGCTTGCTCTTAACTCAACCTCGCTCTCTGTCTCTGTCTCACTCTCTCTCCCTGTAAAGCTTTAAAGAGGCAAAGCTTAGCTCTGCTTGTCACGCTCAAAGCTCCGCTCTCTCGCTCTTCACTAACTCGCTCACTCTATCTATCTCGCTTTTACGCACTCTTTCGCTCATTGTCTCACTTTCACTGTTGTATTGGACTTTACATTGGATCAGCGTGCCTCTCACTCTGTCACCTTAGCTTGTTATCAATTGGCTCTGCTCGCGCTATCTCACACTCATTCTCTGTCTCACTCTAATTAGTGGTATGTGCCGACTGGACGACTGACTCGGTCGCAGTCGCAAGCTGACAAAAGCTCTACCAAACTTTCACGCACATAACTGATCATGCGAAACCAAAACGAATCAAAGAAACTCAATCAAAAGAAAAAAAATATATATGTCTGTATCTATCTATCTCTCTCTCTCTCTCTCTCTCATAGAACTTTTCTACGTATTCTCTCAAATTGTCGATGTATGTGTAAATGTTATCAGAAAGCAATAAAAATAACGTAACGCATATTGACATTTACTCTACGTATCAATTAAATGAAATGAAATCTGATGTGAATTATGATTGTTAAAAAACGACTTTCTTTTGTGCTCTCTCTCTTTCTCTCTCTCTCTCTCTCTTTTCTATTTTTCTCTTTCTCTCTCTTTTCTTTCTCTCTCCGTGTGTTTCTTTCTCTTGTCTATTTTCTCTATTTATTGATATGGTACATAATGTGTTTATCTCTTCTGTCTGCCTGGATAATCGCAAATTGTTTGTTTATCTAACCAAACGCAACACGCGACATTCTCTTTACCCCTCCTCCAACTGTCGCAGCCTCTCGCAATATTACGAGTTCTCCAAGGATCAGGACTATATCTGCTCCACGCCCGAGGATTCGGGCATGCATCTCTGCGGCAACTTTCCGCCGTATCGCATCGGATCACTGGTCTGCACTGGTAAGTACTGCCAGCTAATCCACCCATCTGAGACCCCCTACCCTCCCACAGCCACCCCCTCTCTCGAGCAGGCAAAACTTTCATTTTAATGAGGTGCAAACTGTGCGTGTTAATCAAATTTTGATGGCACTTTTTAATTGCTTTCGTGCTGCTCAACTTTCTGGCAGCCCCCATCATCTACCCACCCTCTCACCCCCTATCATCACCTCGCTCTCTGAAACTAATTGTAAACTTTTTGCAGAGGAGGCCAAGCTACTGGACCTGAATGAGCCAACGAATACCTCGTGCGTGAATTGGAATCAGTATTATACGACCTGCAAGCAGAGTGGCGAGAACCCCTTCCAGGGCACCATATCCTTCGACAACATTGGCATGGCCTGGGTGGCCATATTTCTGGTAAGTTGACAGTCGACAGCCGCAGACTTTTTGCCAATTAGCGCATCAAAACTTTTTGCTTAAACAAATAACAATGACCCAACATTGACACAGGACACGCAGCCAGGCAACGAGCGAGTCAGTGAGTCGAGTGTTTGTTGCATGTTAATTCCGCTGCTCAACTGCGGTGCAAGTTGCCACTTTTGGCATCGCTTTCAATTCAAACAACAACAAACACGACAGCAGCAATAGAACAGCAGCAGCAACAACAACAGCAGCTGTCAAATTTGCATAGGGCGCTAGCTGCTGCTGCTGCTGCTGCTGCCAGCAAAGCGGGTCACGACGATTCACCCCGCGGCACAGCGTGCCCCAAGCGCAATGTGTCAATAGACAGCGCCACGTTGCCACGACAACACGACAGCAGCAAAAACAGCAGCACCAGCAGCAACAACAACAACAATAGCAACAGCAATAGCAGCAAAGTCGCAACTAGCTGCAAATGTCATTGCAGATTGAATCATTTTCGGAAGTTAGCAGCTTATAGAATCACAGATTTGCAACACAAATTGGCAGCCTCAGCTCGACACCTAATTGAAATTAGAAACCAAATTGAATACAAAACCCAAAGTAAACAAAGGAATGAATAGCAGAAGATACAATTAGGGATGGAGTAAGAGATGCAGATACAGATACAGATACAGATACAGATACAGATACAGATACAGATACAGATGACAGATACAGATACAGATACAGATACAGATACAGATACAGATACAGATACAGATACAGATACAGATACAGATACAGATACAGATACAGATACAGATACAGATACAGATACAGATACAGATACAGATACAGATACAGATACAGATACAGATACAGATACAGATACAGATACAGATACAGATACAGATACAGATACAGATACAGATACAGATACATTTAAAGATCCAATAGCAGCCGCTTTGATTTGTGACTTTGATATTCGACCATTAAGGGTGAGAAGGGATGGGGAGGGGTCTTCGCACTGCCTTCCTTCCCAATGGGGTCAAAGGAGGGTTTAAATGCTTTGCAATTAAACGCAAATCAAATACGCATTAAACCATCTGCGTTGCAGGACGTCACACAGACACGAAGCGGACCACACACACACACGTACACACACACACACACACACACACACACACACACACACACACACACACAGACAGCAAACAAAGCAATACTGAAATATTACGCATACGTGACGTGGTACAAAATGAAGAGGAGACCTTTGTTGTTGTTGGCCGCGCTGCCGGCTGCTAATTACGCTAAAAACAAAGGCAACAACAACAGAATTGTTAACGGTTGTCACTTGTCATTGCAGGTCATCTCGCTGGAGGGCTGGACGGACATTATGTACTACGTGCAGGACGCGCACAGCTTCTGGGACTGGATCTACTTTGTGCTGCTAATTGTGGTAAGTGCGTGAGATACACACACAATTATGTCTAGCAGGGGAAAACATAGAGAAAATCTGATATCTCTACAGCAAACTGATTAATTTATTTATACCAAGACTAGTCGATCTAGCATATATACAATCCATGAGCTTTTGAGCACACTTCGTTCCATTTCCCATATGGCAATACTACCTGTTGGCTCAATTTTAATGGGGTCAGGCCATAACTCAAGCTTGACCTGGCTATTTGACTGATTGCTAATCAACATTTACCGTTTATATACCTGCCTCGCTTGCTGGTCTTAAATGAGCATTAAGAACTTCAAGCTGCAAGCTAGAGATAAGCATAAAATTATTCAATGGAGTAGCTATGCAGCCATTCTGATGCTTGGCTGACAAGCGAGTTAGCGAACATGAGGTGAAGGCGCCATTAAGTAGGCAATAAAAAATCTAACTATTTGTATATGAAAATTTTACCATTTAACTTGATTTATATGGAATTTAATTTCATATATTTCTCAAAGCAAAGACAGAATACACAAGTTTAACGAGTTAGAGTCTTCAGCTATTCGAGGTCAAGTGCTGAGGAATATTTGATAGGCCAAGTCAAGAGCCAGTTGATTATGTCTCTGAGTCCTCCTGGCTTATTCAATTTGCTCTTCAAACTCGTAATGGGGCTAAGCTGTAAACAGAATCATTCTTTTCGACAGCTTTACATTCTATTATTTCAGGTCAGGTATTGACATATGAGTTGCCCAATTGCATTTTGGGGCTGGAGCTTTGTTGTGCCCCCCCAAAGGAGATTCCAATTTGTATTTTAAAAATTCTGAATCGAATTCAGCTGAGTGCACAAAGCAATGAAGCTGAGGCAATTTGAATATGTAAATATGTGCATTACACACACACACACACACACACGCACACTCATTCGCTCTCTGTCTCTGTCTGAATAAAGAATAATAAAAGTGCAGTTAGCTGGGGATTCATCATGCGTTTGTCTAGTTGACCACATGTTGCAAGCTGTTGTTGCATCTTCAGGTGTATGTGTGTGTGTGTGTGTGTGTAAATATCAGATGTCCTTGTACTAATTAAAAGCCTTTTAATCCAACACACACACACACAGACATCATTTATTTTGAAAGCTTGTTTCGCTATCTCGCTCGATTCAGCTGCTTTGTTAGTTGCTCATTTGATGTGCAAAATGATTTTTGCTATTGCCCAGGCAACCAGCAACAGCAACAGCAACTGCAACTGCAGCAGCAATAACTTTTCATATGCAAATAGCTGGCAGTCTATAGGAAGGCATATATCCATCCACCTGCCCCATGGCCCATTCATAGAACAGCCCCGTTTCCATCCTTAATGTTTTATGCTATTGAAAGTTGCTTGTTGCCAGCAAGGAAATTGCATATTTATGTTGTTGTTGCTCCTTTTTCTCGTTTTTGAGAAACATTTTGTGCAGTGTGCGCCACACAAATTCAGAAATTAGAAACATTTCGCTCGGCATACCCTCGACAACATGAATGCGGATAAATTGGCTGGAGTGCGTCTGACATGGACGACGAATCTGATGATCTGTCTCTCACTTGATGCCATTAAGAGATGAAATGCCTTAAAATACAAGCTTCGAAGTGAAGAGAAGATAGTTTTAGTTTTCCTTATATGAATGCTGTCAGTCAAATCAGTCAATCAACCACATACAATCAATCAAAGAGTCGTAACAAATTCCGTCCCTATTCAAATTTCCGAGCAATTCTACAGGGTATTCGCTAGTCTGGCTACTTGTTGACTTTTTCTTTGTTGCTGCTATTGTTGTAGAAAAATATGTTTTCAATTTAAAGTTGGCAAATTTGTTTTGCCAGAAAGCTATTAAAATGCAACAGCAAGCTAATGGATGGCTATCCATAGAAAGCGAGAGAGCAGCACACACACACACACACAGAGACAGAGAGAGAGAGAGAGCGAGAAAGTGGAGCTCGGGCAGTGAGCTAACTTGGCAGCTCAACTAATTTGCAGTCATTGAACGAACAACAAATCAAAAGTTCCACAACTCGTAGCGCCTCCTGCCGAACGGCTGCCTCTGCTGCGGCTGCTGCCTGTTGCAGCCGTCGCTATCGACGCTGCCTCAATTTGTGGCGCAAACTAGTTTTGTCGCTTGCGGCATGGAAATGTGAAAAGTTGCGAAATTTGATTTGCTTTGAACTCTAACAAATATTTGGTTTTCTCCACTCATTTGCAGATTGGCTCGTTCTTCATGATCAACCTGTGCCTGGTCGTCATTGCCACCCAGTTCTCGGAGACGAAGAAGCGCGAGATGGAGCGCATGCGGCAGGAGCGCGCCCGCTACACGTCCACGTCGACGCTGGCGAGCAGCACCAACAACTCGGAGCCGGCCACGTGCTATGCCGAGATAGTCAAATACATAGCCCATCTGTGGCGACGCTTCAAGAGACGAATGTTAAAGAAGTACAGATTATATAAGTATGCTGCTTGTCCGTTTTTTGGTTTGATTCAATTACGTTTTGCGTTCACCTGTTTACCTTTCACACTGTTCTCGTTTCTCTCGCCGTCACATTGTATACTAAATGCCATCAAATATTTATCATCAACTTAACAATTGCTTAGCTTGACAACGACTGCAACAGGTCAGGCTCCCCGTCAGGCATACGCACAGTTCTCACAGTTCCGCACCACACCCACAGTGAAGGACTAATCCTCGCGCTAATCTCCACCTCGATTGACTCGGCTCTTATCTCAGAGCTCACAATTTGCCCCTCTTTGCCAGAGTCTTGAGATTTTCACAAATCCCACTATCTTAACGGCTTGATTAGGCTGCCGGAAACGAGAGTTCCAAAGTTAATTTCGTGGCTTCTTATAGAACATGCTCTTTGATATTATCGAACTGTATTATTAAGGCTTTAGCAAGCTTACGCTCAAGTTGTCTTTTATGCCGCATTCGCTTAATTATGTTTTATCGTCTTTGGTTCATTCTGCTTCCGCTCAAAATAAGTTGCTCGCAGGCTTACGACAGCTAAACTAACCTAACCTAGTACCAGACCTAACCTAGCCTATCCCAACTCCAACCTAACCTCACCCAACGCTGTCCCAGCTCCATCCTAACTGAGCCCTCTCATAGCAACATGTCCTAGTCCATAGTCTATCCTAGCTTCTTCTGACCCGTTCCATGTTTGCATTGCCTAGGCTCCTGAATATATTCTAGCCCTCCTAAACACAAGCCCGTCTTAATCCAATTTAGCCATGTCGCAAACCAACCTAATCTTAACTCAGCTCTATCATGCTTTCACTTGCTCAGACATTTCTGTAACTGATAGATAAACTTTACTAACTAAGTTATAGAAAATAGCATATCCCTTGAAAAAATATTCGATAAACTTGTCCTTGCCAAACGTCAAGTCAATTTTTTTTTTTTTTTCAATTGACCAAAAACTTGACATTTCCAAGTATCTTCCATGAGAAAGTTCCCAAATGGAGTTAAGACTTTCAGTTAACTGTATTTGATGTCAGCTAACTGTATTTGATGTCAAATTGACTTTCTCAGCTCAGAAGTTTTCACCCCTTGCAGAGTAGCGTCGCCCAGAGAGACAGACCGACCCCAGCCTTAGCCCAACATGCCGTTAGATTTTATTGCATTTTATTTGCGATACTTCGGTTTCAATTCGTTTTTCCTTTGCGCCTCGGACCCGGATCTTCCACAGCTCTGGCCAAAATATATATATATTTATATATCCAAATATATACATATATATCTCTGTGATTTATTAAAAATTCATTTAACATGCGTTCCGCCTCTCACGTCCTACAGCGCACGTTCTCTTCGTTTCTTTTTCTGTTATTTATATGTATTCTTTTTTCTGCTTTTTAGTTTTCTCGTTTACAGTTGTCAACTTTTTGGGTTTTGCATTTTTTATGGGCTTTGGCTTTCAATTATTTGCACTTGCATTTGGTCGCGTGTGTTGGTCCCCAAATGTTGTACCTGTTGTTGTTGTGTCTCGAATAACAAGAGAACAACAAATACAACATATAGAGTTAGTCACCTTAGTCAGTACTGACTGTGATAGTGACTGTGACTGTGACTGTGACTGTCACTGTGACTGTGACTGTGACTGTGACTGTGACTGTGACTGTGACTGTGACTGTGACTGTGACTGTGACTGTGACTGTGACTGTGACTGTGACTGTGACTGTGACTGTGACTGTGACTGTGACTGTGACTGGGACTGTGACTGTGACTGTGACTGTGACTGTGACTGTGACTGTGATTGTGACTGTGACTGTGACTGTGATTGTGACTGTGACTGTGACTGTGACTGTGACTGTGACTGTGACTGTGACTGTGACTGTGACTGTGACTGTGACTGTGACTGTGACTGTGACTGTGATTCTGATTCTGATTCTGACTTGACTCTGACTCTGACTCTGACTGTTTGCATTTAAGCGTACATAGCCTAAACAACATCTATAGCATGCATAGCTATCAGAAATAACCATACGAAGTTTGCATGAGATCTCCTCTCAGTTGATTTGTAAGCTCAAGAGACTTACCTGCTTGGGCAATGTGCTTTAATGAACATTCAATGGGCCACATAAACTTTTCCCAATATCTTCAGCTTAATGAGCTTTTCCAGAAGTATAAAAACTTTCAAATTCCTTAGATTCAAAGTCAAGAGCTTTCAGTGTAATAAAGTATGCCAAACTTTTGCCAGTCGAGCAGAGTCATAAAGCTTTAAGGTGCTTTCAGCACACTCGACTTTAATTTGACTAATCAATGACTATTACGATTAAATTGTAACGAAAGCTGTGAAAACAAAATGCACTCGGTAAACAGTTGATTAATTTCCAACAGCTACTCAAGTGTTTGCCCAAGGTCTGAAAACAATTCGGCTTTGAATGTTAAACAAGATTGACTCACTGAAAGTCATGCCCGAGTGCCTCAGCTGGCTCGAGGCCAGAAGCACTTCAGCTATGCGAAATGCTTTAAATCGTTAGCTCTTTAGTACACGTTTACAACACATGAGTTCCTCTGTCTACCTGTCTCTCTCTCTTCCTGTCTCTCCCTCTGCTCTCTCTCTCTCTCTCGCTCTCGCTCTTGCTCTCGTCTTAAGTCGAATCGCTATAAAATATTTTAATTTTCATTTGCATTCGTCTCGTTCGACGCTCGTTTGTTGTGGTTGTCGTTGTTTTTGCTTATTTGCGTTGTTCATTTGATTGAATTATGTAATTGTAGTCTAATTAGTAAGCACACACACACACACGCACACACACACACATACTTACTGCTACACAATTAGACAATGTCTAATGATGCCACTGAGAGCCACACACACGTAAACCAAAACCTCAAAACAGAATTCGCACACGTTCTCACCTGAGCCACACGTCCGTGTATGTGTATGTGTATGTGTATGTGTATGTGTATGTGTATGTGTCTATGTGTTTGTGTGTGTGCGTGTGTGTTTGTATGTTATGCATGAATTTACTTTCGACTATATACACTAATCGTTTGCCCTCTTGCCCTTAACACCTTCCACCCTCTGCTGCTGCGTCCTCATCGTCGCCCTCGTCCAGGTATCAGAGGCAACAGCGGCGCGAGGGTCTGCTGCCCAATGCGGATAATCTCACGTTTTCGCCGTCGCGCATCAAGTGCCATCACCCGAACTGCCCCAAGTACAGTAATCGCAAGCCGTCCAGCATGCAGGATCAGATGATTACCGTTATGGTGCCGCTCAATTCCAACAACAACAACAACAATAACAACAATAGCAGCAACAACAACAGCAGCAGCAACAATGGCAGCGGCAACGGCGGCGCTGGCGGTGCCAGCGCAGCTGCCGGTGGTGCTGGCAGCAACAGCCAGAATCACACCACTGTGGCATTGATTAATGGCATCAACGGCAGCACCGCCAGCGTCTCGATGGCCCAGCAGCAACAGTTGGTGGCAGGCGGTGCCGCCTCCCAGGCGCAACTCTCCTCGTCGGACAACACGGAGCAGTCGCTGGGCGAGGGCAGCGGCTCGGGCGTGGCCCGGCGCACCTCCTCGATGAAGAAACCCACCGCCCACCATGGCCACGGCCTGCAGCTGAAGCCGGACTCAACTGGTGGCGAGCAGAAGACGATTCTGCTCAAGCTGCCACAGCAGGTCATGGACTCGGACCAACTGATCGTAAGTATCGCCTGCACTGACGAAGAGGCAGACAAAAAGAAACAGTATACCCATCCAAATACTCGCCAAAGAAATACGATATGCACATGTCTAAATTGTAGGCCACATAAAGTTTCAATGCTATTTACACGCGAAGACCATATACGATACTACTAAATACGATGATATACTATAGTTAAAAATATACAATATACTATAAAGCACAAGCTACTTACGATATACCGAATACGGTACGACATACTAGCTCTCAATTAATACTATACACGTGCTTAAACTCAACATTGTTTGGTATACCATCGAAATATCGTATGCGATATATTGGCTGGAATTACGAATAACGCTATTCAGGATTCACATTATATGCAATATAAGGATATATTTAAAAATTAGCAAAAATAAGAAATTACTAATCTAAATTTGTCATATCCTGAACCATGTTATACGCTACTTAGCTGTTATACGATATTCGATATACGTCAAATATACTATATACCAAATACTATATTCGTGTATATTCGGTAAACATATCATAGGCATGACATCCCAGACACAGCATATCGTCAAGGTTAAGGATATGCGAGATATACAACTTATGATATACCACATATGATATTCGTGTGTGTCATATCGTGAACGACGTTTTACGCTACTTGGGTGTTATGCGATATTCGATACACATATCATAGGCATGACTGCATAACGTCAAGCTTTAGGCTATACGAGATATACTACATACGATATACCACACACGATATTCGACTTAATGCAGCTCCAGACTTCGCTCGAGAAATCCACAAACAGACTTAACAACCAAGAAACAATTACCTATTCCAATAATACTCTTGACCATCCACTAACTTAACTATGAAATACCGCTAATAATGATCTTTCATATTTGTCACGAACGTTGCACAACTTGTAGCTGCAGTTGGGAAATTTAGGCAAGGTATTGCAATCTATCACAACTACAAATTTTAAGAACCCTCTTTAAAAACATGTATATATAACAAACAAGCTAAAAATAAATTTGAGCTTCGGCTAACCGAGGCAACCCGAGCAGAAATATGGAGTCGAACATATCGAGAGCGTGTAGATTTGTTCTGAACTTAGATTCGCTAATGACCTGCAATTAAGACAGAATGTTTTTCCTTGTGCTCGTAATATATTTAGCAATAAATATAATTTGTTATTGCTACAATATTGGGCATATTCCAATAAAAATTCCTTATTTCTGCAAGGGCAAAAAGTTAATATCTTTGACGAGACTGCAATTAAATAAAAGTTATAATTAAAGCTCGAAGCGATAAGGAAATTGATACCCATTAAATTTGAATGCAATGTATAAAATAACCTACGTCCACAGCCCCAGCGCCTCCGGTGACCCATTGACCCATTGACCCATTGTTCTATTAGACCTATTGCTAAAATGCCAATTAATTATTCAAATATTTGTTGCATTTCATTATATATGTAAATAGCAATTGAGATTCATCCGCCTCGGCGATTCCCTAGCACATGAAAGAAGTGATGGCATTTTGAGGGATATAGATTTGTGCTTTATGAATATTAGATGTAATTATTCCATTGTAAGCTCTGGATTAGATTTTTATAATGCTATGTTAGCGCTGACATAATAGGCTTAGCGTCTCTATGTCAATCAAAAAGCTTCGCTGAACAAGTAAAAAACAATACTCAATTAAAGCTTCGCTTATGGCATATAATGAGCTTTTCAATTCATTCAAGAGCTTTGGAATTTCTCAAAGAAATCAATATTAAATTGACACTTAGCTCATATGAGCTTTCATTCTGCTTTAGAATAGTAGATTAATGAAGAGCTTTCAAAGCTCCGTTTCATGTGCTTACAATGAATATTTATTGAAATATTTTATTGAAATATTTGACTGAAATATAGTCAATCAATGATGTTAGGCACCAGCTTACAAGTGTTTAATAATAACTTTTCAGTATTGGCAAATGCTTTTTCAGTATTGATAAATGCACAAAAATGAATGAGTATGAATTAAAGCTAAATATAATTCTTATATGTAACTTATCGATAACTTTATCAATTTTAAGTTAACGATACCAGTGTGATATTTATCTATAGAAAAGCAAAGCTTTAATAGACTTTACTCAATTCTTTATAGTTTAACCCATTGAAAGAATGAAAGTAAGCATAGTGGAAGGCTTAAAGCCGCAGCCTAGGCGGGTATCTCCTAGGCGAGCATGCCCAACTAAAAGCTTAGCCATTTGTTTGCTTGGTCTCTAGTGGTTTCCATTAGCGCTTCCTGCCCAGGGCCCACTGTACATAGCCAACTCCTAAAAATAAAAAATAAACCGTTTAAGTCGCAATCCTAAATGAAAGTTTTAAACTATTTTGAAATGTTTATCAACCAATGTTGCCAGAGCTAATGCATATTTATTATTTTACCCATATTCCCCACTCCGATTTCCCACTCGCTCTGTCTCTCTCTCTCTCGCTCTCTCTGTCTGTCTGGCTTTCTCTCTCTATCTCTGCCTATAGAGCCATCCATGCACCTCGGGCTTTCTCAGTCCGCCCACCTCGGCCAGCCGTCGTCCCTCGGTGATGTTCAATGAGTACGTGCTGCTGCACACACCGCCAGCGTTAAGCAACGAGCCAGCAGCAGCTGCTGCTGCCACAACAACAACAACAGCTATAGCAACCACTGCAACAGCAGCAGCAGCGGCGGCAACAACAACAGCTGCAGCAGCAATAACTACAGCAACAACTAGCATTGGCAGCAACAGCGGCGGCAACATTCACTCCATGGAGAAGATGACACAGGCAGGTGACGGCAGCATTTGGCAGGTGAGTGTTTTGGGGCGTGGCGTGCAGCAGGCAATCGACTCACATTGTTAAATATTGATGGCAGGTGAATCTACCGCAAAGCATCGGCACCATCGCCAATCCGTATGCCGAGTGCTCTGAGCTGGGTATACACGATGCGATGACTTGTCAAGAGCTCTTAGCGTTCTCTGTGGCATTTTCAGCGGCGCTGCCGACGGGTCAGAGTACGCTCGAATCGTTCTACTCGTCGCTGGCGCGCTGCGATCCTCACACGGTCGAGGCCCTGAACAAGGTGCAGCAGCAGAAGCGTCTGACAGCTACAGCAGCAACAACAGCAGCAGCAGCAGCTGCAACTGCAGCAACACCAACAGCAACAACAGCAGCAACAACAGCAACAGCAGCACCGGCAACAGTTGCTGCTGCCGCTGATATACTCGACTCGAGTGCAGATTTGCCGGCACCGGGCCTGAGCCTGGAGCTGGCTGCTGTCTCGGCGGCTGTGCCGATGGAGAATCGGCGCAAGGAGCGGCCGCATTTGCCCCACAATAACAACAATAATAACAACCATAACAACAACAACAACAACAGCAAAAGCAATCACAGCCGCAACACGGGCGGCGGACAGCGTCACCATGGGCGCAGCCACGCCCCCACCGGCAACTACATGGAGGACTATGCCTGCTGCTACGATCTGTACCAGAACGCCCTCTCGCCCCTCGACGAGCGCCAGCATCCCCGCTCCCCAGCCCTGCGCCTGCTCATCGCCGTCTACCGCTGCCTGATGCGGGTCTGCAGCTGGATCCGGCGATACATCAAGCGGCTGGTCGAGCACAAGTACTTCCAGCAGGGCATCCTCCTGGCCATTTTGATCAATACGCTCTCGATGGGCATCGAGTACCACAATCAGCCCGAGGAGCTGACGGCCATTGTTGAGACGAGCAACGTTGTCTTCTCCGGCATCTTTGCCGTCGAGATGCTGCTCAAGGTAATTGCCGAGGGACCCTTTCGCTACATAGCCAACGGCTTCAATGTCTTCGACGGCATCATCGTCATACTCAGGTGAGCATTCACAATAGCTGTCGGTGCGCCCAGCTAACCTCCTCTCGCCCTCAGCGCCATTGAGATATGCCAGACGTTTGCGGGCAACGGCACTGGCGGCGGCGGCTCAGGTCTGTCCGTCCTTCGCACCTTCCGTCTGCTGCGCATCCTGAAGCTCGTTCGCTTCATGCCCAATCTGCGGCGTCAACTGTTTGTCATGCTGCGCACCATGGACAATGTTGCTGTCTTTTTCTCACTGCTCGTACTCTTTATATTCATATTCAGGTGAGTTCTACTGTAGCCAACACACACAGGCACACTCAAATACACTCACACACACACAAATATTTGCATGTGTACTAACAGCAATTGCCGATGGGGCAGGCGTCTGTGTGGCACACGTCTAACACCGCATAAACACCTAACAACAACAGAAACTAAACTGTAAAATGCGAAAGATATCATATCTATATAAAGGGAAGAAAAAACAACAAGAAAACTCCTGAAAATCTTGGCAAGAGAAGGAAAACTGAAAGAACTCAGAGTTGGTCTCAAGGCTAATAAATAATTATATACGAATAAGTTGTTAATTTCATCACCAAGATTGTGAGCAAATTCGATAGTTAACTCTAATCTATTCTCGTAAGATCAGTTGGGAAATATCAAGAAAATATTCGAGTTAAACATAATTCGAATGCGGCTTTCATTAGTTCTTTAGAGTTAAAAGATAATGCTAAGCCAAGAGCTCGAGTATTGTACAATATCTTAGTTTAGAGTTCTTTAAAGTCTTTTGAGCTAGAGTGCAGTAACTCTTAGCCATTAGATCTTAAATTGTAGCACTCCTTCGAGTATTAGGTCGACGAATACAATTTCAAAATGCAGCTATATGCTACAGATGCCAAACATATATACATATTATAGGAATCTATTGTGAACAATATGAGATCTAGCTCAAATAACTTTGAACCAAGTATAGCCTATGTCGAGTATTAGATGAAACTCGAAGCCAAAGCTGAAGAGAACTTTAAATACTTTAGCCAAGCAATAAATCAAAAGAAACTTCAGTGATATCTAAATTTGAAGACTACTAGAATCAGATCGGAAATTTCAGATAATTACCATCGATACGTCCCTCTATTTGCCAACGATTTCATGGAGTTCGAGCTGAGCTGAGCTAAGCTCAATTTCCACTTAAGTCACACACAGACATACACACATACATACATACATACATACCTGCATATATATAGATATGTACAGTAATGTATATCGTAATGCTGATGCGCATCCAATTAATCCAAAAGCGACCCACTAAACCACTAAACCACTGACCCGCCGCATCAGTGACCCACTAAACAGTTGAGTGTGTTACTCTAATTTTTTATCGTTAGTTCATGGCTCTTAGAGCTTCGATAATGTACCGAAGATGATGTTTAGCAATCGTCTGGTCTTCTATACGACATAGAGTTGCGTAATACTAATCTGCTTACTCAATGCTAGCCTCTAATTAGCCCCTCAGTTACAACAACAACGACAACTAATATTGATCTAAGAGAAATAGTTATTAACACACACACACACACACATACACTTGACATTCACACCATCTATAGAACAGATCGTTCACATACTCAAAGGGAGAGGAGATTTGCCTAACAGAGCATAGATGTGTCTATATACATACATATGCATATACATATATATATGTATATGTATTATATATAGTCACTTAAATGTTTGTGCAGATGGTCTACTGCTCTCTCGCTCTCTCTCTCTCGCTCTGACTCTCTCTCTTTTTCTCTCTCTTTCTAACAAGCTATTTCTATCTCATCAGACGCAAACAAAATCAATTCATATCCTTTCTATATCTGTCTCGCTCTCTGCCTCTCGCTCTGCACAATCACATAAATGCATATGCGAGCTAGCTTTCCGTTTTCTCGCTCTCTCGTTCTCTCGCTCTCTCGCTCTCTTGCTCTCTTGCTCTTTTCGTCATCTTTTTACTCAGCTATATGTATGTATATGCGCTATCTCTGACTCTATCAAGGTCACACTCACTCTCTCTCAGTTTCTATCGCTCATCATCTCACTCACATACTGACATATGATCTGTCTCTCTCTTTTTCTCTCTCTCTCTATCATCCACATTATATATCTTTCTCTTGCTCTTTTTATAATAATATACATACATATATCATTTTACTCTTCTCTCTCTCTATTTCATCACACTACATATTTCCATCTTCGCTCTCTGTTACTTCTGCATCATTGAACTCTTAACACTCACTCCCAAAAACCGTAACAAAAACCCTTTTAAAAACTAAAAACAAATATAGAAACAAACGTATTTCAATTTTTAGCCCTGGTAATAACTATACTCGTTTTTATGCGTACCATTTGAGTAAACGATTGAGTTAGCCTTTCTCTCTCTATATATATCTCTTTATCTATCTCTCACATATACACATACACATGCAGTTATTCTAGCTCTCTCTCTCTCTCTCCCTGTCTGAATTACGTGTACTCCTTATCTCAATTTGTAGTTAGAGTTTTACAATCCAATCCAAATTGATCGACAATTTCAGTCTCTGTTTTCAAACTCTCTCACTCTGTTTCTGTCTCTCTTACACACATACATACTCTCTCCGTATATCTAGTTGCTGCGCTAGTTGCCCTACACACACATCGCACACGTTGTATTCCAAATATAAAGATTACAAAATAATACACTGAGAAAAAATCAGATCGAAGTTAATGTATGCGAGTGATTTGGTCTGTCTCTCTCTCTCCCTTTCTTTCTCTCTCCCTCTGTTTTATTAACAACTTGTCAACGATTTGTGAGCACCAACAAGGCTAGTTCTTTCTCTCTCTCTCTTTCGCTCGCTCGCAGACTCTCTATCTCTCTCTATCTGAGTCACTCACTTTCAAGTTACTTTTTCAATTCAATTCTTCTCTCTCTCTCTCTCTCTTTTCATTGTTTTCTCGTCACACGTCTCTTGCCACTTTCGCTACTCTCTTTACTCGTCACCCACCCTCTCCATTTTGCGTGCTCTCCAAGAAGCTCGATTATTTACTTATCTTGTTTTATTTTTCGATTTGTGTTAACTTCTCACTCGCTTCTCGCTACCCAGAAAACTCTGTTAGACACCAACAACAGCAACAACACATACAACAATTAGTTAGTTCGAGGCTTAACTAAATGTGTGTCCTAGCTTTTTGGCATTTACCAACACTGAACTTGAACAAAAACCAAGCAAACCAACAAACACAAGGCTCAAAATTACAAACACATTTTATTTTGTTAATACAACACAATTGGAAGCAACAATAATTAGTTAAAAAAAACACAAATAATAGTAATAGTATTTTTAATAATACTAAACGTTAAACAGTAACTATCGAGTCGTACGCTTATTGTGTAGTTTTGCAGTATACAAACTATATCTATGTATGTATACATATATATAAATTATGTATGTATACACACTTCATATATCTTCATATATATATCTCTCTCTCTCAATTCTCAATTACTTGTACTACTACTACATGCTCTCTTTCCTATATATTATATACTATTGACATTTCCATTTTTAAAACTCTTAATTTTTATTAACTTTAAATCGTAAAATACCAAATAAATACTAAAAATACAGCTATATGCAAAAATACCACAAAAATATACCAACTACATTTTTATTCTAAACCAAAGTTTAGTTAGCTTAGTTGCTCTGTTCTTGAACTAAAAGTCGTAAACGTTTGCGTAGTTAGAACCAAAAAAAAATACAATAACTATCTTAAAAATATCTTTAAAAAAAATACTACAGTCATATACTGACACATATAACACCAACGACATAGATCACAACTACTCTGCAATGAAAGAAAACTTAGAATGTGTCCCCCTGATGACTCAGATGCCCCACACATACACTCTCTATCCCTCTCTGTCTCTCTCTCTGTCTCTCTTCTATCTTCTCTTGAACAATAAAAAAAAGGTATTAAAAGAAGTACTAGAAAAATACTAATAATACGACTTGAATAAATCAGCAATATTTTCTAGCACTCCATTTTCCAGTAACTTTTACTTTCGTTCCGTTTGTCCGATTCGTCAGCTTTGAAGGCTCGCCTCTCTGCGTGAAAGCTGGAATTCAAAAGTTATTTTTTGGATTTGCAGATTATGAAAAGTGAAATTAATTTTAATTTTCCAATTAAAGCTCGCTTGCTGCTCACTTACAGTCACAATCTCTCTCTCTCTTTCTTTCTTAACTATCTCTTTCTTTCTCTCTCTCTCTCTATTTCTCTTTCTCTCACACACACAATTGCTCCACTCTTAAATATTTTAATACTAAAACTTACTTTTAAAACTAAAATATATTAACAATAAAAAAAAACTTAAACTAAAATCTAAAAAAAAAAAAAAAAAAACACTACAAAAAACCCCACAAAAATATTTAACAACATTAATAATAACAATAATTAATAAAAAAAAAATACTTTACAAGAATATTACCAAATATATATATATTATCGAAATATAAATGTATATCATATATATATCAAAAAAAAAAAAAAAAAAAAAAAAAAAAAAAAAAAAAAAAAAAAAATACATCAATTTAGTATACTCGGCATGAATCTGTTCGGATGTAAATTCTGCGAGAAAATTAATGGAGAGAAGATTTGCGATCGTAAGAATTTCGACAGCCTGCTATGGGCGCTCGTCACAGTGTTTCAGGTAGACCCCATTTGCTATCAGCATAATTTTAACTTAACATATATATATATATATATTTATAAATTCTAAATAAATATACCATGCTATACCAAAGAATATACATATAATATATAATAAATAAATATATATATATACATATATATATATGTATGTGTTTACCACCTAATTTTATGCCATAATCGTAATCTATCTAACACTTAAATGTTTCAATGAAAACAATACCAGTTTTTTCTTTTTATTAACTACCAACCAAAAAATACCAAAAATAATACCGAAATGTAAGCATTTTGTTTTGTTTGTTTAACGTTTTTTTTAGGCTTCTGTTGAAATGTTCATTTTTTTATTTTGTTTGTGCTAGGTCTTGCCGATAACCGATAACAATAACGATAACAATCATATCGATTATAATTGTTGTGCTTTCTTTTGCGTTCGTAAAAACGATTGCTCTGTCTCTCCTTAACTCTGATTCACCCTCTCCCTCTCTCTTTTTGTCACTCTGTCTGTCTGTGTATTCAGTTTTATGTGTGTTCCGATTTCAGTTTGGCCCATGAAAAACGCCTGCAATATGTATTGGAACTTTCGTTGATTCAATTCACTTTGTGCTTATGTTTGCTTTGTTTTTGGTTTCATTAGATCTCGCACTGATTTGTGGTGTGTAGTCCGTTTGGTGTGGTCTTTATTTTCATTGTGTTTCATTCCATTTCGTTTCGTGCCTGCACGTTGAGCCTAGTTTGAGCCTAGTTGATGTGGCATGCCAAGTTATTTATCGAGCTACGCGCATACGCATGCCATACTTATCTTGATCTATATATGTTATACAGCTTTCACATATTTATCGTAACGATCAGCTATCGATTGCAAATATAGCTTAGTTCATAAGGCAGATATATATTCATAAGCTGCACAGGTAAGCATACCAGTTGTGTAGAATCGCCTGCCCTTTATATATGTATATTCATATCTATATCGATTTCTATATATTTGTCTTTGCCTATGTATATCTGTCTATGCATTTACTTACTTTGGCTTGCTTAATTGATAAGTGTGTTATCGATCACACCTACTGCTGTCTATACACACTCACACACGTTGACTCGCTCGACTTTTTACTCCAACTCTTTCGATTTGTTCTCACACGTCCTTTACCTCTTATCACACATGCATATACACGCGCACACACTCGCACTCTCTCACACACACACATTCACACATGTTTTTATTCTCTTTCTCTCTCTCTCTTTCTCTGTGTTTTTTCTCTCTCTCTCTCCCTTGTCTAAGTGTTTATTACTATCTATATATGCATCTATGGTACATATCTATTGCTATATATACTCTAGACTCTAAGTTGTTTAGAATTTGTATACTCCCTCTGTCTACTTAACCTAAAAGCCCTCACACACATACACACACACACACATACACCTATACCGAAGCACTCTCAACTCTAAACTGTAATCTATATTCCTCTTAAATGAAAACTATACATATCACATAAACATACATATACATACATACATACACATACTTATACACATACACATACACACATATATATAATACATACCTAGTACAGTCTCTAGAGTTTATGAGGTTTACAGAAATTACTAAAAAAAATATATATATATTTTTATACAAAAAAAAACTCTGTAAAATAAAACAGTTTTTTCTTTGCTCCACTTTTTGCTTCATCAAATAATAATAAAATAAAATAGATCACGAAACTCACAGTTTTCTATCCACTCTGTACAGAATTAAACAGTTATACAATCAATTCTATTCCAAAGAAAAGTCCAGTTAGCTCCAAGTTTCTTATAAACTTGAAGTCCGCAACAACAACAACAATTACAACAACAATAAATTAATACAAATTATAATTTTTAAATATAAAGAAAACCTAATATATATATATATATATATATATATATATATATATATATATATATATATATATATATATATATAATCATAATCTATTCGCAATTATACATGTATCTATATATTAATAACTCTATATATATATATATATGTATATATATTCGCTCAACATATCCACACAAAAAAAAAAAAAAAAAAATAGAAAAGAAAACCTCTCTCTCTCTCTAACAACCAAAAAAACTGATATATATGATATATAAAACATATATACGTATAAACCTACAGCATACTCGGCATGTATCTGTTTGGCGGTAAGTTTTGTAAATTTTTGGATGAATCCGGACTCGAACGCGAATGCACGTGTCCCGAAATAATCAGCCGACATCCGCAATGTGAATGCGATCGTAAACACTTCAACAACATTTTGTGGGCCACTGTCACAGTTTTTCAAGTAAGAGCAACCAACAATCAACAATACCCAAAACAACATCCATTAAGAGATATACTCAGTATACATATATATGTATGTCCCATCACATATATATATATACATATATATGTATATTTATAAATATATATACATTCCCAGCTATTTATCTAATATATACAAAACAGACAAAAAGAAAATATTTCCCTATATATATATATAAATTTTATGGCAGAACATACAGCTCTATCTACAATATATCTAGTTTTCTTCTGTTAACTGATTTTTTTTAGTTTTAGTTTAGTTACATCTACATCTATATATATATATCTATATATATCTATCTCTAAACTCTCTCTCTATATATTAATATATCAAGAAGAAGACAAAACTTACTAGTTTTTCTAGCTTTAGTTGGTTGGCTCTAAAAAGTTCTTTCGGTTCGGTTGACTTCTTTTATTTTTAGTTTTCTTCATAACTTTTTACTTAGTCTTCAAATACTTGTTCAATCAAAATATAGTTCTTAGCTAATTTTATACACACACATATACGTACATACCCTCACACACATGCATACACCCACACTCCATATAACTGGCCCTCTGAGCGTCCCTCTGGTTTGAAATATTGTATGATGAAAATGAGTAAATATTTTTAAGAACTAGTTCATTTTCTTAACAATTGTAAACTTTATATTCCCAATCTCTCAAAATGATAATAGTAAATCATTCCTTGTTGCAGAACATTTTTTCTCAAAATTGTGAACTCAATTGGTTCATGATTGGAACCTGAAAATACTTGTAAGAAACGTCCGGTTGAAATTGAAATATTAGCACCCTAACAATGCAAAAAACTATTCACTTTTTAAGAACTAGTTCGTTCGCTTGTGAACAAGTATAAATTTAGCTAGTTCATAATGGGATTTTGAATTGAATGCAGTCAAAATATATATTAGATTGAACCAAACTTTCCTGCTACTCTCTGATTAAATGAGGGATTAGTTTTAATGAACTAGTGGTTCATAACATGAACTAATGAAATATTAATATTTGCCATTTGGCTTGACAGCTAAGAACAAAAACTATATTGTTCCTTGAGTACTTCAATTCCTTGTTGAACTAGCTCTCCCCCTCACTCTCTCTGTCATTCTCTCTAGTTAGCCAGCTCTATCTCTCTCGCTCACACACAGAAAAACAATTATTCTTTGACAATTTTTTCTCGTCTTCTTTCTGCTCGCGTCTTTGCTATAAGCCTCTTTCTCTTTCTCTTTCTCTCTCCCTCTCGCCACCTTGCTCTTTCTTTCTCAGCCACTCACATAGACGCTCATCTGTATTATAAGCCAAAGTTTCATTTCTTGTTTCTTGCATGATTTCTCTTCTTAATTGAAAATACTTTCCTTTTTTAGTTCATTTTGTTTTTAATTTTGATCCTTATGCTCTATGTGGAGTATATATGTAGATATGTAAATATCTATATATATATATAACTATACTTCTATAGCTCTCTCAAGCAACCCCTTTCGTTTTGGCTTGTAGCCCCGCCTCTATGCCACGCCACGTCCTTAACAGCTGCTGATTTGTTATTCTTCTTCGTGTTATTTTTGCCCAAGTTTTGTGATTTCGTTCTATCATTTTGCGTTTATGCCTAGCTCACGGTTCTCAATTGCTTTTTGCTGCTGTTTGCGCTTTTCTTAAAATACAAAAAAAAAAAAAAAAAAACATACTATATACATATATGTAGAAAAAGAATCATGTATTCATGTACAGTCACGACCAAAAGATATATATATTTAAAATAAAAACATCAAAATAAATCAAAAAAATATATATATACTCGATTTGTATATGAAACCCCATATAGCATCAACAATTTATTGGCACGCCGTAAAAAAAAAAAAAAAAAAAAAAAAAAAAAAATTAAATAAAATAAAAAAATCTACCATATATATATACATATATATATCAAATAACAAAATCAAAAAATATATATACGAAAAAAATACCACTTTTAGTATTTAAAAAGAATTTGAATTTCTATATGCAAGATATTTTTTGCGCGCTTTTGCAGCTCTTTAAAGGAATTTTCATTGTTTAGTTTAATAATTCTAATTATTCAGTATTTTCTATGGAATTGGAGTTTGTATTTTGAGTTGAAAACGTGTTTTTATCGAGTGCTTTGCGTTTTTTAACCACACCACGAATTACGAGTATAATACCATGTACTTTAGATTCGTTCGTTCAATTCAACTTAACTTTTTGGTTGCTTATTTACAGTGCGTGTCTTTAATCTTAAGATCCTGAGTTCATTTCTTGTTTCGTTTTGTTCTGTGATTGTGCTTTCAGTTGCCAACTGCTTTAACTGCGCCTTGGCCAAATTTTGTGTTTCATACTCCATGTTAAATGTAATTTTTTGTCATTCAATATGTCAGAGCTCTAAACATTAACAAACAAACAAATAATAATAATACTAATAATTATAAAGGGCCAATAGAGCAAAGTTTGCAAATGTTCGAATTCGTAAAAGAAAACTTTATAATATATTGGCAACAATTTATTTATGTTTTTTATAATTTTTTTTTGCAAGCAAGAAAACTTACCAAACGAGTTCTAATATTATTCTGTGTTCAAAATACTAAAAAAATACCAAAGCAGATAGACAGTTCAAGTTATGTTTACAATAAATATATATACATAATCTATCCTACGTATTACCTTAACATATATTGAATTCTATAATATCTCTAATAATAATAGATTACATAAAAGAAACTAAGAAGAAGCAGATATATCTAACACGTTTTTTTGGCGTCTTTTTTTCGCTTCTCCAACATGATGTATTTTCTTTTATGCTCTCTTTTTTCTTATATCAAACTACACACACACAAACACACACATACACACATATGTTTATGGTGTTTCGTTCTCTTTTTTATGCTTCTTTCGATAACAAATATATATCGTATATATATCGTATATCGCATATGAACGTTAACTGCACCACGTTTTGCCGCCCGCAATCCACCTACAACTGCAACCTAAAAAAAAAAAAACAAAAAAAAAATACCAAACATCAACAACAAACAACAAAAATGTTTCTAGATACTAACGCAAGAGGATTGGAACGTTGTCCTATTCAATGGCATGGAAAAGACAAGTCATTGGGCCGCATTGTATTTTGTGGCTCTAATGACTTTTGGCAATTACGTGCTGTTTAATTTATTGGTCGCCATTTTGGTTGAGGGATTCAGTTCAGAGGTAGAGTTTTGCCAACATCAACTAATTATGAAAAAAATACTAACAAAACTACTGAAAACTTCTTTTCAAATACTTCTCAAAAAATTTCTAAATTTTACTTTCCATTTCCATGGCCAAATTGGTCATCGTTTCACTAGCTTCATTCACTAAATGACCTTTAGTCGAAACGATAGCCAGGTCAAATTTATCGAGAAACTCTTCAATTGGTCTCTAAAATTGATAAGCTCTACTATATTTTGATTTTAATACTAAAACTTGCTTTCTCACTTAAGCTCTCAAGTAAATTTCAATTCTCTAACTCATCGATAAATGATCGATTTCGAGTAACTTAACCATATTTCAATTCTTGCTGTCTTTTATGTTTTTCTATTCTTCAAAAATTCTAAATTGCACTTAAATTTATATCGATAACCAATCGATAATCGATTAACAACGAAGCTGACAAAACAATGTTTCAATTATTGCTCTAAATTTATCATTCTTTAAGTTTCGATAAGCTATCGATAATCTACTATATCGATAATCTACTATATCTACTATATAATTGAGACAATGTCTTGAAGCGAACATGATAGTTTGCAAAACGCTAGACAGCAACGATAACGATAACGTTGACGAAAAAGTCTAATTTTGAAATTTTGATTCCCTCAGCGAAATGAACGTCGCGAACGCGAACAACGTGAATTGGTTAAGAAACTGCGTGAAGAAACATTGGCCGAAAATTATAGCGATGGTATGTACGATGAATCACGCAGCGAAGCGGATTCATCGACCACAAACGATAGTTACTACGAGGTACGCAATCGCTGGCGCAGTGCCGAGGATGTGCGCAAGGTAAGTGCAAAAGAGAAACGAATCGAAAAGAGAGAGAGAGAGAGCGAATGCTAAAGCTCGACTCTGTGACACGCACTGACTGTAAGAGCGACTGAGATAGCATGCACGTCAGTGTGAGTGCGTTGAGTGCGCGCCAGTGAATGTGAGTGAATGTGGGTGAGTGCGTGTACCGTTAAGAGTCCATCACGGTATGTATCCGTAGTGTATTGTTGAAGTATCAGCATTCATGGTCGATTGTTATCGCTCATCGTTTATCGTCTATCGCCACTTTAGCAGCTGCAGGAGTCAGCCGAGCTGAACATCGAAGCCAAGAACAACATTCATCGCCAGCGTCTGCTGCAGCCCATCCAGGACTATCAGATCAACGAGCTGCCCGCCCAAGGCGCCAGCTCTGCGTCGCTGGGCAATGCCGGCGACAAGGAGGGCGATGCCAAGCCACGCGGCGGCCTCAAAAAGGTAAGTGACACGCTCGACTTCTAGTCAGCAGAAGAAGCAGAACGACAAGCAGAACATGAAGTCAAATCCCAACCCAAACGCCCTCCACTTGTACGACAGACATACTCGATCAAGGAGCGACGCAACGAGGCGCCACGGTTATCGAAAATGCGTCTCATACGCGATCCACCGCTCATCACAACTACAGCGGCCACGCCCCAAGATTCGCCAAGCACCACGATGGAGCCGGGCATGAGTTTTCGCCAATGGGGCGACATGGAGGTGAGTTACCCCAAGCCAAGAGAGCAATATATTATTCTATTAACTATAATCTTTAGCTAAAATTTCAATTGCTTGTTATCGATAAGAATCGATTTCAATGATTTTCAAACATAACTGGACTCGAGATAGAGATATATAATTTGTTTGGCATATAGATTTGTGTTAAGTACACACTGATATGCAATTTTTTGGTTAGCTATGAACATCCGAGTTTCCCAAAATTGGGACTTGGTTACTTGAACATAAGTGAAGCACTACATAAAATACATACATCAATCACAAATCTACAATGTTTTAATTTTTGAATACCTATACTAAATCTGCTCTTAACTTAACTTAACAATCACGTGAATTTTGGTGTATAGATAAATTTCTGATAGTTAATACAGCTCGGGTGAATTTCTATATAAAAAGCAGAAAAGCTCTAGTCGAGACTGCTCGACTAGGAAATCCCCTAAACCCTTTGAAGAATTGATATTTTACAATAATTTTACACGTCATTCTGCTTACACAAGAAACACACACACACAGAAAAACATAGGGATGCAAGCATATCGGGAGTAGTTATCGATTTTTAGAGACAAGCTCGATATGCGCGTGATATATACGAACCTAGGAAACAAATTTTAAGTCTCTAGCTCCTATATCTTCTGGGATCGGCGCGTTCATACATACGGACGGACGAACGGACAGATAGATGGACAGGGCTAACACGACTTAGGTTGTCGCCCTGATCAAGTATTTATGGGGTCTGCCACGCCTCCTTCTGCCTGTTACATAGTTTTAACAAAACCATTATACCCTGATTTCCCATTTTCAATGGTTTTTCTCCTTCATATTGACTGATTTCTTTTGTCTGTGCCGCAGCCCGTGCCGCCGTCGCCGTCGCTGCTGAAGCCACCGAACATTTTCAGCGGCGGGCAGCGGGTTCTGGACGAGGGCATACCGGCCATAGATCTCATACCGCCATCGCCGGTGCTGGCGCACAAGCCGCTCAACATACTGAATGCCAGCCAGCTGCAGGGGCATGCGGGCACTGTGGGCGGCCTGGGTGGGGCAGGAGTTGGCGCGGGCATTGGAGCTGGTGGTAATGGAGGGAGCGGAGCAGGTGGCGTTGGCGGTGCTGCGGCTGGCAGCTCCAGCCTGTCCAGCGGGAGCAGCAATCAGCTGAGCAGCCTGCTGCCCAGCGCCCTGGCCAGCAGCATGCACAGCGTCATCATCGACGACATCTCGAAGAATTCCAGCACGAGTGCCGCAGCCACGCCCATCTATGTGCCCACCATATCGTCGGTGGCATCGACACTGCAGCCGCCGACCGAGAGCCACAGCCACAGCCTGAATCTATCCGAATTGTCGCTCAGCTCAGCTGTGGGCGGCGCCGGTGGCAGCGTCGGCTCGACCAGCTCCTCCAGCGAACGTCTGCCGCTGGCACCGCCGAGCAGCTTCAAGCAGCGCTTCCGTCGCTCCAGCTCCAAGAAGCGGCCCAGCCCACACCCACAGCGCCCCGACGACCAACACCTGGCCGACGAGGAGGAGCCGCAGCTGAACAACGGCAGCGGCGACAACAGCTACCTGCTGCGCAGCAGCCCGGTGCCAGCAATGGGCATGGCAGCCGGCGGCACAGGGCCCAAGGACACGAACCGCCTGAGTCCACAGAACTCGATTCGCCGGCTCTCCAACACGCTGAGCATTGGCAGCGGCCCGGGCAGCCGACGCGCCTCGGCGTGCATCTTCAACTCGCAGGTGTATCAGAACCTGAACCAGCCGCCGAAGCTGAGGGCGGGCGCGGGCCAGCGGCGCATGAGCTCCATTGAGCTGGCCTTCAGCAAGACGTCGCACCTGAATCTGCACAATCTGGAGGCGAATCGCAAGTCGTTGTCCTACACCAACTCGAAGATCGACCTGGACAAATGGCAAAAGTCCTACATGACGCTCAACGAACCGGACATGCTGCAACAGTACATGGAGGCGCGCGACAAGCGCAAGAACTCCATCAGCCACTACAATCTGAAGAAGCGACTCGAGGAGAAGGAGCTGCAACAGCTACAGCAGCTGCACCAGCAGCAACTGCAACAGCAGCAGCAGCAACAGCAACAGCCACAGCAACTGGAGTCCCAGCTGCCGCCGCAGCAGCTGGCCAAGGAGCTGCAGCTGCTGTCCATGCAACGACATTCCATGGTGCCGTGCGGCTCTAGCGGGGAGCACGTCTCGAAGCTCAAGATGGTCATACAGCGTCTGACGCCAAAGCACTTTACCGCCGAGCGTGAGTCCTACTCCATGTACATCTTTCCGGAGGACAACAGGTGCGTCTAAAGCAAGTTTTGCATTAAGTTTAAAGTGAGCTTTTAAACATCTTGAGCAAGCTTTAAAATAGCTTTAAGTTAGTTTCAAGCGAATTTTCGAAAGAGTTGAAATTAGTTTTCTTTGATGCACGCCGAGCTTTAAGTCATTTTTAAGCCAGCATTAGTTGAGCTTTTTCGTCGTCGGCCATGCTCTCGTTTTCGCAAAAGCTTCAAGTGAGCTTAAATGTGCTTAAAGTGAGCTTTATGTATGTCCCACTCTCAGTTTCAATGCGAACTTCAAACAGCTTAGGCTTAACAGAGCTTTAAGCAAGCTGAAGCACATGATGACAGCTAATCTATCAAATTGTAATGCGCTTAAAGCTTTAAAAAACTTCATCATGCCAATTAAGATGAGTGAATGAGAACTACCTCAGCTTCAATCAGCTGTAGCTGTAAACCAATTTCAACTTAAATTACGATGAAGCTTACCCTAAAGCTTAGGCAAAGCTTGAAGTAAATTTTAGACATATTTTCAACCGAAATCTTAAAGCTCAAAAGCATATTTTCCATTTATTTCTTGTAAAAACCTAAGCAAAGCTTTAATATAGACAATTAAGTTAAAAGCTCTTACTTACTCTTATTGCAATTAAGCTTTCATCAGCTTTGCCTTAAAGTCGTATATACAAAGAACTCGAAACACATTTCCCATTACCATTCAATAAATCAACAGCTAGAAATTTGCGTCTCCCATTTAACAAATTTCCAGTTGACTTTTGCCAAAGCAACAGAAGTCAAGTGCACTTCAGACTGTCGCACGTTTCACAGTTCGATTTCATTTTCAATTTTCATTCGTGAGCTGTGCATCGGCAAAGCTGTAATTCAATTATACAACCTTGTTGCAATTGGAGCTGATGTCCCTATCTTCATTTCTTTATTTCTCTTTCTCCTTCCCTTGCTGTGTGTTTGTGCTTGTCAACAGGTTCCGGCAGATCTGCACGTGGTTCGTGAACCAAAAGTGGTTCGACAATGTTGTGCTGCTCTTCATAGCGCTCAACTGCATAACTCTAGCCATGGAAAGACCAAACATCCCTCCAAATAGCACCGAACGAGTGTTCCTAGCAACAGCCAACTACGTGTTCACCGTCGTCTTTACTGTCGAAATGTTCATTAAGGTAAGTTCATGCCAGTTCAACTAGTTCACCAACAGTAACAGTACATTCAGCGAAAAGTAGTATAGACTCAAGCTCTAGAGTTGGTATATGATGATATATGATATATGATATATGATATATGATATATGATATATGATATATGATATATGATATATGATATATGATATATGATATATGATATATGATATATGATATATGATATATGATATATGATATATGATATATGATATATGATATATGATATATGATATATGATATATGATATATGATATATGATATATGATATATGATATATGATATATGATATATGATATATGATATATGATATATGATATATGATATATGATATATGATATATGATATATGATATATGATATATGATATATGATATATGATATATGATATATAATACTCTATTCCAAATAAAATCTGTTGAGTAACAATATCCTCTGTCATAGCAATTTCGCTCAGTGTATTGTGCATTTTGCAATTCGTAATTGAATTTTGGGTATTCATGAAATCTGATTGCATTCACAGGTAGTTGCCACGGGCATGTTTTATGGCCCGGATGCATATTTCACATCCGGCTGGAATATAATGGATGGATCTTTGGTTACAATTTCGATAATTGATTTGTTAATGTCATTGATTAGCGAGTCGAGCCCGAGGATATTTGGGATTTTAAGGGTAAGTTTGTAGGTGGGCCGGCGTGGCAAATCTAAAAACGTGGCATCGAAATGCCATCAGCGACTGCTACATGCCACATGCCACTTGCCACTTGCCACATGCCACATGCCACATGCAGCATGCAACTGAATGCAGCGCCCAACAAATGTGCGAGCCACTAATTCAACAACTCGAACCACGCACCACGCAAAATATTAAAAAAAATGAAAAAAATAAAACAAGTTCAAATGCGGAATCATAAAAAAAAGAAAATCTAGAAAAGCAAAGAAAAGCTCTAGCAATTGCTCGCTCGCTCGCTCGTTCGCCCGCTCTCTCGCTCTTGCTCTCTTTCTCTCTCTTTCTATCTCTCTATATTTCTCTCTTTAGCTAACTATGTTTCTTACATTGCTATCGCTATCTCTGTCTAACGCACACATCTTTCGTCTCGTCTCGCCGTAAAGTGCACACAAATCTTCTATCTCAACAACTCTCTATCTCTATCTTGCTCTCTCTGAAACTTTATCTCTTTCTATCTGTCTATCTCATTCTCTCTCTCTCTATATATATATATATATACCTCTGTATTTATATATATCTATGTATCTATTGTACTTGAATTGGGTATTCGTATCTTAATCTTAACATTAATCAAAAACAAAACCAATCTGCAGGTAAATTCTCGCTGCTATATCATTTAATGGCAAATCCAATATCTAAAACATTAATCCAATTTATTTGTCTTTGTGTGTGTGTGTGTGTATGTAGAGTCCCCCAAGAACTGTTAATACCCATTCCAAATATGTTGAACGTTGGCCTCACCTTCATGCTATAACTCGTTGTATATGTAAATAGATCTATATTTCATTACGATACGCACAACTTTCGCTTATAAATAAAACATAACCTCACATTATGTACGTTTACTTATCGGAGCTGTAAAGTCACTTACAGTTAGCTCTCAAACTGGCAAGGAGGATTAAATGATTCTAGAATTCCATACTGGCTTCTGGAACAACTTTGAAACCCTTTTATATTATCTATTATAATCTAGAATAGAGTTTACGGCTCCGATATTTGCGAACTTTCACTGTCATTAACTAAATTTGCTTTTAGTATTACTTTGACATGCATTGCAATCACTGTTCTATTCCCATTTGTTTCATTCGTTTCAGCACATATTTCAATTAAATCCCTAGGCAGTTATAGCCTCATATCTCCCATAATAAATGCCATAGTTCCGTTTCTATTTGTTCCATATCATTGTTTTTAGTCCAAAACTCCATACTCCTCTAGGCTATTATCGCTTTATTACTACCTTTTAATCGTTTTGTTGGAATACTCCAATTCCTTGTGTTTCCAGTTTCTAAGCGTGTTATATAATTATTTATAGCCCGATTTATATCGCCCCCATGGCTATCGGCTAATTATAATCAATATCACTTCACATTTATATATCCAATTCCACTCGTCTCATATTACACTCCTTCCATATTCAGGCTTAAACTTGACCATTATCATTCCATTATATTTTTCTCGCATATCATTGTCATCCGCTCCAATCGCTTTTTCCCAATTCCATTCGTTCCTGACCAAAAATCACCAGTTAAAAATCACATTGTTGTTTCAGCTTTTAAATTGCACATATGTACATACAGCTTACAGTACTTTTGCCTCGATCATGTTCCATTTCCATTCATTCCATGCCATTGTTCCGCAAATGTCATTGCCTAGCCTAGCCTTTTGCTGTGCAAACCACTGTTTTTTGGAATACCTAGTCGATTGATTACTACAGTGTTCCAAATTCCATTCGTTTCCCTTCAATATATATGTATATATTCCCCTGTAAAGCTCCAGTAGCTAAAGTCCATGCTAGCATACAAGTGTCCCATTATCATGTTGCTTTGCCTTGTTCAGTTCTTTTGTGTTGTTCCCATTCCACTCGTTTCAGTTGCTATTACCGCTTCACAAAGTGATGCGCCAACGATTCGTTGTACTTCAACGAAATCCGAAAAGAGATTAACTGCAATCGAACTAATACTGATCCAATGCATGTTCCAAACCCAATTGTTGTTCGCAGGTGTTTCGTCTACTTCGTTCCCTACGGCCGCTGCGTGTGATCAACCGAGCGCCGGGTCTGAAACTAGTCGTTCAAACGCTCTTATCATCCCTGCGTCCCATCGGGAACATCGTGCTGATCTGTTGCACCTTCTTCATCATCTTTGGCATCCTCGGCGTCCAGCTGTTCAAGGGCACCTTCTTCTACTGCGAGGGCGAGAACATTAAGAACGTACGAAACGCCGACGAGTGCCGTCGCATACCGGGCAACGTCTGGACGAATCGCAAATACAATTTCGATGACCTCGGCAAGGCGCTGATGTCCCTCTTCGTGCTCAGCTCCCGCGACGGCTGGGTGAACATCATGTACACGGGCCTCGATGCCGTCGGCGTCGACCAACAGCCGATCGTCAACTACAACGAGTGGCGGCTACTGTACTTCATAGCGTTCATATTGCTGGTCGGCTTCTTTGTGCTGAACATGTTTGTGGGCGTGGTGGTGGAGAACTTCCACCGTTGCCGCGAAGAGCAAGAGAAGGAGGAGAAGATCCGGCGAGCCGCCAAGCGAGCGCTCCAAATGGAAAAGAAGCGCCGGCGCATGCACGAGCCGCCCTACTACACCAACTACTCGCCCACCCGAATGTTCGTACACAACGTGGTCACATCGAAGTACTTCGACCTGGCCATAGCCGCCGTCATCGGGCTGAATGTGGTTACGATGGCCATGGAGTACTACAAGATGCCCATTCCGCTGCAATACGCGCTGAAGATCTTCAACTACTTCTTCACGGCCGTCTTCATACTGGAGGCGAACATGAAGCTGGTGGCACTGGGCTGGCGGCTCTACCTGAAGGATCGCTGGAATCAGCTGGACGTGGGCATTGTTCTGCTCTCGATCGTGGGCATTGTCCTCGAGGAGCTGGAGACGAACATCATCCCCATTAACCCGACGATAATACGCGTGATGCGCGTGCTGCGCATCGCCCGCGTCCTCAAGCTACTGAAGATGGCGAAGGGCATACGAGCACTACTGGACACCGTCATGCAGGCCCTGCCCCAGGTGGGCAACTTGGGGCTGCTCTTCTTCCTGCTGTTCTTCATATTTGCGGCGCTGGGCGTGGAGCTGTTTGGCCGGCTCGAGTGCTCCGACGAGATACCCTGCCAGGGACTTGGCGAGCATGCGCACTTCGCCAACTTTGGCATGGCTTTCCTCACATTGTTTCGCGTAGCGACTGGCGACAACTGGAACGGCATCATGAAGGACACGCTGAGGGATAACTGCGATGACGCCGCCGATTGCGTGCGCAATTGCTGCGTCAGCTCATTTATTGCTCCCATATTCTTTGTGATATTCGTTCTTATGGCGCAATTCGTTTTAGTGAACGTCGTCGTGGCTGTTTTGATGAAACATCTCGAGGAGAGCCACAAGCAAATGGAAGACGAGCTCGACATGGAGGTGGAGCTGGAGCGCGAGCTGGTGCGCGAGCAGGAGTTTGCCCAGGAGCAAAAACTGTGCCAGCAGCTGGCGGAGGCGCAGGCCAAGCTGCCCGCACCGCCCAGACCCCTGGCCAAGGTCAAATCCCTGCCCAAGAACTTCATCTACAGCACACCCTCCCTGGACAAGAAGTTCCCGAGCGTCAGTCTCACTGGCAGCACCGCCAACAACATTGCCGCCGGCGCTGGCCAGCGGCGTCAGACCGTGCAATACTTCAACCAGCAGCAGCAACAGCAGCACCTGCAACAGCAGCAGCAACACCAGCAGCAGCTGCAGCAGCAGCATCCACATCAACAGCAGCAGCGGCAGCAGCACCATCTGAGCCTGGCTGAGATGGGCAGCGCGCTGACGCCTCAGAGCTTGAGCGCACGGTTGGGGGAGCCCTTCGGCGGCGCTATGACGGCAGCTGGAAGCGGTCCGGGCTCCGAGCTGCTGGGCTTGCAGCTGCCGCCATTGGGCCGCCGCGGGCGACGCGCCTCCGCCGCCGCCGGGTTCCGTAAGCGCGGCGTGCTGTCCAAGGAGCGATCGCTCGACGAGCAGGCCATCAGGCGACGCAACCTGGAGGCGAAGCGCACCAGTTGCGACTCGTTGCCTTGGGGCGGCGATGCGCTCGACTATAGGCGTGGCACCATCTTCGAGAGCCTCGAATCGGATCCCGCCTCCAGCTATGACCTGGACGTGCGCAGCATACGCAGCGCTGATGTCCCCAGGCCGCGCGACGACGACGAGTCGCTGGAGCCGCTGGCTGTGGTCAGTGCTCTAGTCCAGCCAACGGCAACGCCATCGTCGCCCCCCATAACAACAGCCACGCCCACGCCCACGCCCACGCCCTCGCCAACGCCAACATCAACGTCTATGCCCCAGCCCCAGCCCCAGTCACAGTCACAGCCACAACAGCAGCATCCGCGCCGGCCCTTTGGCTGGTCACAGTCGGTGGATCAGGGCTGCCTGCTGGGCCCCGGCGGACGCAGCAGCTTGCTGCTCTCGGTGCCACGTTCGATGCCCCCTCGCAGTCGCAGCGGCAGCACGAAGCAGCTCTTCAAGCAGCAGGCGCTCGATGAGGACGCCGACATGGATGAGAACTCGCTGCTGTTGCCCGCCACGCATCTGGCAGCAACTGTTGCTCCCAGCTCGGAGCACCCAACGGCAACAGCCACAGCAGCGGCAGCGGCAGCGGCAGCAGCAGCGAGCGACGTTGACGGCGACAGCGATGCCGTCGACGTCAGCAGCGCAGCGGGCCTAAGCAAATCCGATTCAGCGGACATCATGCGCATCATCAGCGAGCGCAGACGCATGGATCAGCGGGATCAGTGCGGGAACGAGGACAGCGACTACAATGAGCTGCTCCTGGTCAAGTCGCCGCAATCCTCAACGGACTAAGCCCTCGGGAGAGAGAGAGAGAGAGAGCGAGTTGTCTCTGTCGCTCTCTTGCAATCTCTCCCTCCTCTTTCTGTCTGTCACTCTGTCATCCAATCATCATACCTTGAAGCAGGCTTACTATAAGTAGTTTTAAGCACTATCGATAAACGATAACACGACAACACAAAGCTCGCCTGTTAGCATAAGCATACTATAGCCATATCCCCCCACCTCTCACACATTCTCTCCCTCACTCAACCGCACACAGGCTTGCTGAGAGTGTGTTTTATGCGCATTTTGGTGTTATCGATAAACGATAAAAATATCAAGAAGCAAGCCTGTACACCTGTTATATACTTATGCTTATCTCACTCGATCACACACTCCTATTACAGAGAAACACACACACACAAATTATGGAGGGCTCTAATGAAACTTCAATAATCGATAACACATGGCTGATTTTGTACAGCTTTCTCAATCTCACCAAATGAGCATTTCATGTGCATTTAGGCATTATCCATACATCGATAGGGCAAGTAACCCAATCAGTGTCCATTGCTCTTTCTTTTTCTAAATTTCACATTATCGTTAAATCGATAACTCGATAACACATAGCAAGTCTGTGCTAGTAGCTGCTCTCCCTCTCCTATAGGCTCTCACTAATGTACAGACTTGCTAGCAGAGAGTTCCATGCGCATTTAAGTATTTTCGATAAATCGATAACACATTGATAGTATAAACAGAAGCAAGCCTGTTAGCATACACTCTCTACCCCACACTTACTTTCGTAACTATAACTTTAGGGAATTTTCCAAGTGCTCAGTTTGAAGATGGCAAAACAAAAAAAAAAAAAAAAAAAAACAAAAATCGAAAAAAAGAAGAAAGAAAAGAAGAAAAAGAAACTAAAACGTTAGCTTTTAGCCAATTACGATTAACGATTAACGATAAACATTACTCACTAGCGTTTAGGTGTTTAACTGTAACTATAACTGTAACTGTAACTATACAAATTAACTATAACGATAACGATTACAATTACGATAACTACTCATCGAGCGTTCTCTACCAAAACAAAGCAAAACAAAACAACAAATGGTCAACTGTTTTTAGTGCAATCTACGGTTTTCATAAGTTTAGCAAAAACAAAAAAAAATTTGAAAAGAAAAAATACTACAAATATACTTAAAAAGATGAAAATACTAAACAAAAATCAATCATTGCTTAGAGCGTTTTCCGTTTCAACCACAAAATGGATGAGAAAATAAGAAAAACCAAAAGCTGATTTATGATGATTATATGGAACTAAATGTATGTATATATATATATACATATATAAATATATATATATATAGAAGAGTTATATACACAGTTATACACTACAATATATATATATATACATGTATGTATGAATATTGTGAGCAGAAATATATATATATATATATACTGAAAAAAAATCATCAACTCTGTGATTAGCTCTTAAAGTTTAAATGGATTTATATAAAAAGAAGAAGAAGAACAAGCAAAAACAATTAAAGTACTTGAGTATGTATATAGATCATCTTATATATATATATATATACATATATACATATACTATATGTGTTGTCTGGTATTTTATGTAGTCTAGTATTATTATTGCTGCAGTATTCAGTATAAATACACACACAAATGGATAAGCAATAGAAAATGATTTTTTTGTAGCTCGTTAAGATGGTATAAACTAACTTTAAGCATAACACACACGAAACATACTAAAATACCAACAGAAAGAAACCGGATATACCATGAAAATACCGAAATGTTGCCCCTTTGTGCGTAAAACCAAATAATTGATGTAACAAATACATATACGAATTTACATAGGTACTTAACACAGGCATACACACATGCACACACACACACACAGCAGCAGCAACTACTAGCGTTGCTCATTTTAGACAATCTTTCGTACACCTCTAGCGCGCTATCCTTCTGGCCTTTACCCTAGCGCAGTTTCAATTCTCGCTCATTGACATACAAATTGTGCCAAAAATACAACAACAAGAAAATACTTTTAAAATACTGAGAACACACACACACACAGAAAGTAAGGGTAATTAGTGTACGTTAAGTTTTTTGAGTAGTTCAAAACGAAGAGATCGGTAACTATTAAAATTAAAAGCAAAAAAAAAATACTAAATTATCAAAACAAAACAAAAACTGAAAACTAATTAATATAAAAACATTAAAATAATAAAAAAAAATACCAGAAATTCCTATAACAGAAAAACTATGAAAATTGGAAAATACATAGCCAAAAAATACCGAAAAGTATTTAATACACAAACAAATTAACAATATTGAAAAACAAAATCAGCGCAACACACAATTTAAAAAATACTGCAAGTTACTCAAGAAAATACTAAAAAGAGAAGCTGGCTCAGAAAACCCGAAGCAGACTACAAATATATATATATATTTTTTTTTAGTGTAGCTTCAACAAAACGTAGAATCAACCTTGTTGTCTGTATATATATACATATATGTACACGTATATGAGTATATATACGTAGTAAGCCAACTTCAAATTGGTAAACCGAAGAACTTTATGGCGTAGCATTTATAAAAAGTAGTAGAAATTTACAATAAAAAAAAAAACAACAAAAATACTGTAGCAATTGCTACCTATGTAGATTATATAGTATATATAGTTTATATATACATATATATATGTGTGTATATATATATATATAATGTGACTCTATCAACGAATTACCATAGCTAAGCCAAAAGGAAGAAAGAACGTTAGCTAAACTCTTTTTAAGACAAGTTCTTAAAGAGAGCGAGGAAACACTTGAACTTAGAAATGTAGAAAGGAAAACTGTCAATTTAATAGCATGATCTGTAAGACGCGTCGCATTTGTCGATAAGTCGATAGTTCGATAGCCGGAAAAACCACAAATGCCCAAATTTAGAGAAACTTTTGACACAATACAACACCTGGAACAAATCGAACTTACAAAATCCGAAAAACACAAAATTTAATTATATAATAATTTCATCTGTGCCTTTCTCTATGAATATATATATACATCGATACATATATATTGAGCTCTATGTATATATATACACTAAATACAAATCATGATTATACTTAACTACTATACTATATATAATATATATATACTTCACATGTGCTCTTCTTTACAAACTCTTGCTCTTTCTCTTACTCATACCCTGGCTGTCAATGCGTATATCGATAATGTATCGATTACCGAATCGATGACACTCAGTGTCACACAGAGACAGGAAACTGCTCAATCTACTTTTGTTAAGGCTTTATTTTACTCTCCCTCCCTCTCTCTCTCTCTCTCTCTATCAAATAAATCGATTATTTATCGATAGCACAGATGAGAGACTCAGCTTCTCTAACGAATTGAAACGAACTGCTTTATCTGTAAAATTCTTAGCAAGCAGTTTGATTAGCTGTTAAATATTTAACATGCACTTTGCATGTGGCAGAGCTTTTATTGACTTTTCAGTCTCTTGTTGAATTTAAGTTTAAGATTTGATTGCCTGCAGCTTAGACTTGCCGTTAAGCTTGACACGAACTTTAACTGTGAAGCCAAATTGTTAAACAACTCTTCAAATTACGATATGATAGGATGTGATGCTAATATGAATAACAGACGAACACACGCACACACACACACACACACAGAGACAATCTCTCGATCGTCCTCTCCGTCATTCTCTCTCTCTCTCTCTCTCTCTCTCATCTGCTTCTGTTTGACATTTGTTAGCTAAACAAAAATTATTAAAAAAAAAGAAAAAATAAAAGCATAACATTTTTTTTGTCTTGTTGATTAATAATTAGGTAAAAAGCCAGTAAAAAATTAGACAAAAACCTATATGAAGAAAAAAATTAATAAGAAAAATAGAAATTTGAATTTAAAATGAAAAGAAACATATATATATATATAAATTTGCTTTTAGCCAAAACAAATAATCAAAAAAGAAAAAAACAATTAATTATGTAAATGTTGGAAAAAAAAACCAAGCGAAAAAATAAACAAAAAGTGAGTAACAAAAATTGAGCACTTTTCCAGCCTGTCCCTAGCCTAGTTATAAAAAAGAAGTAATAACCAAACAAATAAAACACGAAAACAGTTAAAACGGTAAACAAAATCATTTGAGAACATAAATAAATAATTAAATAAGAATTAAATAGTTGTAAAATATGGTTGAAACTACCACAGAAATCGCTCTACATATGCCTCCAAAAACGCATACACACACACATACACACACATATTTAAATATGTATATAAGCAAAACAAAGAGCATTATGAATTAAACAGAAATTTTGAAAAGAAATCTTGAGCGTTCGTCGATTTTATTTATTGCGTAAGTGGCGCCATCTGCCGCAAGGCGGCGGCAGCTTGCACTGCTTTGCACCGCTTGCAAGCAGTGGAGCCTGCAGACGGCATCGGGCACTAAACTTAAATTGCTTTGTCAACTGTCGTTACAGTCCAGCTGAATGACGGATGTTTGTTTAGTACGTACATGGAATACCCTGTAAGTATTACAAACAGGGTAGCTGTGCACTAGGGCAAGCTTTAAGTAAGTATGTCTATGAGTTGACTTATTTAAGAGGTAAGTACATGTTTTTACTCAGATTTTAGATTGTATAGATTATGTAGCAGCAACTGGAGGAGTTGCACATCATACAGGGTATTCGTACATGTTTCCACAGTTTTTATTTACTTTACTATATATATATATATATATATATACATTTTTCAGTTCCTGTTAACCCGTTACTTATTTACAGGGTATTCAATAGCCGCAAGCTGTCTTATGCAGGCCAAGCAATCAATCAATCAAATCTCCAGTCAGATCGCTAAGCTCTTGTCATAGTGATCAATTCCTTCTTAGCTCTTAATCCTTTTACAGGGTAACGCCTCGATAGTCGATCACACTCTCTTCTTTCTTTTATTTCCTGCGCTCAGCCGCCTGGCTACATGAAATAGTCGTGGCCTAGTTCCCTCTTAACACTCCACTTTGTTACAGGGTATTCGCATTGGGCATGCTCGCTTGGCTACACCTCTCCGCTCTGCTCTTCTGTCTATGACATTGCGTTTCTCTGTGGAGTCGCTTGTGCTGCTTTGTCTTACGCTAAATTTTCTTTTCGTTGCATAAGAGCGAATCAACTGCCACGCCCCCCTCCCCATTATTTTACAGCCCGCTAAAGACAAGTGAAAATATGTTGTTGCTGGTAGGTCTTTTATAACAACTGAAATCTCCCTCACCCTCACCCTCACTCCGCTCCCCCTCCCTCTGCCCTAGCTCCACTGACACTGACAGTGTCAGTTGTAGTCCACACCCCTCCTATTACACCAGCCCCCGTCCACTCCCCACCCTCCTCTCCCTCTCTTTCTCTCTCTCTCTCTCTCCATCTCTCTCTCTCCCTCTCTGACCTCATCAATGGCAATCGACGCTCATCTGCCTTCAGTCTTGAGTCGACTCGACTCAACTCGCCTCGCCTCGCCTCCATCCGAGTCGACTCGATCTCGCGTTCGCGTTTGCGTTTTTAATTAACGGCGCTTTTTTCTATTGCTTCATGAAATATTGCAAATGAAGTAATTATCAAAAAAAAAAAAAAAAAAGAAAAAAAAAAAACAATGAATAAAAGAAGAAACAGATGAGACCAAGCGACAAATTAAAAAAAAAAGAGATGAAAAAAACAAACATAAATGCCGAAGATGACCAAATTATATAAAACGACAGCAACAACAACAACAAAAACAATAGCAACAATAACAACAACTGAAGCTAACATAACTTCAGTTACGACGTAAGAAAAATTAACGGCATTTGATTCAGTTTTCAGCCAGAGTAGTTCGAGTTGTTTTGCTGTTATTGTTGTTTGAAGTTTGTTGTTGTTGTTGTTGTTGCTGTTGTTGTTGTTGCTGTTGTTGTTGTTGTTGCTGCATTGCTGAACGTTTTCCTTGGCGTGAAATGCGTTCATGGTCAAAGTGTCAAACGTGATGTAACGGCACTTTATTCACTGACCCTAAACGAATTTATAGGTAGAGAGTGAGAGCGAGAGGGAAAGAGATAGAAGGAGAATGAGAAAGAGACACAGTTCAAGGAAATGGGTAAAGTAGAGATTATCAGAGGCACGGAAAAAAGAGGGGAAAAAGAGAAGAAAGGAGGAAAGAGGCAGAAATAGTGAGAGAAAGAGAGAGATACAGACAGACAAGGAAGGAGAGAGGAAGAAAACAACAAAATAAAAAATAGAAAGAAAAAGGATGGAAGACAGAGGATAAATATTTCATCAATCTTCACAAGGGAGAAAAGAAGAAAAAAAAAGAAAAGAAAGAGAAAAAGGAAGAGATTGTGTGTGAGAGAGAGAGTGAGGGAATAAGAAGGAAAGAAAGCGGGGAAATACGAGAAAAATTAAAGTAAAAACAAAGAAAGAAAGCAGGCAATGTGAAATGCATGGGAGCGAAAAGTGGAGGACAGAGACAGATGGAGAAAGAAGGACAGAAAGAGGAACCAATAAAGTGTAAGAGAAGTAAATTGAAAGACTATGACACAGACTACGGTGGTAAAGGAGTATGATGAATAGAAAGAGGGAAGCGAGTAAAAGAATAATAACTAAGGGAGAATCACTCCCCTGAGTAATTGATAAAAAAAAAAAAAACCAGAGATCGAGACGGACCCCGAGAGATACAGCACAAACTATATACAATACCGATCGATATATATCTATCGAATATCATCGAAATTTTGTGCAATACCAAATGAAAACGAACTGAAAACGGGACAACAAAAGACAAGGGACGGACTATTCTGCAGTCGAATTACTTTTCAATTTGCTGTGATGTGCAACAGTTCGAATCAGTCGAATCATGAACGACTTGAACTACTTCGCATCAAGTAATCATAATTATGTAAAGATCCGTTATCTTCAATCATATCATTATGCAAACAACTTTAATTATGGCCGCCGTCATAAAAACGCTTGCAACACTGCTCGCAACAGCCGCCAAAAATATAAACAGTGTTGCAAAAGCGCGACAGATCGTTGAGCATATGAGCAGAGTCCAAAGTTCAAATGAAAAGTGCGCGAATTGATGGCGACATTTTGAAGTGGATATTCATAAGAATATACATATATATATAGG